TTAGGGCCAACCACTGATGAGACTCACCGCTGGGTTCGGGCTCTGGGCACGGCAGCATCACCACCACCACCACCCACCACCACCACACCTAAACACAGCGCATACCTGACAAGGGGCCAATGCCTTTACACCATCTGCATCCGAGTCAGCAGCAATGGCCGTCTCGTTCCCGTCGCCGTAAACCCTGAATGAAATGGTACAGTGTCGGAATGTATCCGTGCCTTTTCTGACGGTTTGATATCCGTAGGCGGCCGCAACCAAGAAAATGGGCGTCGATCTTCAGAAACACGCCGTCCCTACGCACCTTTCGATGATGCATCCATCCAGATCACATCTGCCCATCCAAACAGTGCAGCCCAGCACTTCCGCTTACCAACAACGTACAGTACCGACCGTTCTGCTGTGCGGTGCCGCCTGCGCCCGGCATCAGGTAACCCCCCAAACCAGCTCGATCCAGGTACCATCAGCCTCAGGGGGCCAAGCCAAGCAAGCAAACCTTTGCGCCAGCGGCTCCACGGGCCATGATGGATTTCTGTGGTGCTCCGTTGGTGCATGCATTGGTTCTCACGGCCGGGGTCAGTCATGTACCATGGTCCATGGCTTGTATCTCTCGTGTGGGCGCTTCTCCCCCACCAACCCGTTCAGTTCGAGGTACCTGCAGAGTCGCGCGTTTATCGTGCGGCAGAGGAGGTACCTCATTCTGTCTCGTCCCAGTCTGACCTCCATGTCTTGTCTTTCCCCCATGGACGAATCCCACTTGGTCTCCGTCTCGGCTCCATCAGCTAAGGCAAAGGTGCTCCGTGAGCTGAGCGAGGTGAGCCAACATAGCCAGAGGTCATGACGAAGTTGGTTGGGCGATGGAGTTGGTTGGCCGTTGGATATGGACATATAAGCCCCAAGTTTGACCCTCTGAGATATGCTTGATCGTGACCATGAGACCATGCAACGGATACTACTCTGCGGATGATATGAGCGTCAACCGCTAGTGGGTGCACCTACGACTGTTTCCGCCTCTGCCTCTACTTCTGCATCAGCGACACTAGGAACATGCATGCTTTGGGCAGTAAGTCGGCGAGACGGCACCCATCACGGCTCGATGGCTCTCTCAACCGATGAGTTGTTCGTCCTGGGCTATGACTCCCTCGCGCCCGATACGGCCCTGCTTGGATTATGGTCAGCACAAAAATAGGTGTGGTGTGGTGCGCTGTCGTTTCGAGGCAAAGCCACACAGCACAGCACAACACACAGGTTTGCTTGTGGTTCCGGATCACTGATGAGAAACTCCCTGCTTTCACTGGGATCCAATAAGTGATTAGTCGACCGACAGCACTACGATGCAGTTGTGGTTGCAGCGCCGGGTGCAGTAGCAGAATCAGGAGCTCGTACAGGACCCATATTTCCGGGTCCGGGCCCGGGCTTGAGTCCCAGTTTCTGCTCCCGTTGCAGGCAGGCAGATCTGAAGTGAATGGAAAGGGCAGGCAATATCACCCCGGAACCACGGTTGGCGCGACGGCTAATGCGGTGCAGTGCATTAAAGTATTGAATAAGGCGTCGTTTGTGCTCCTTTGGGAAATACAACAAGAAATGGATGCATGATTATGAGCCGGATGCTGAAACCCGGGGTGGGAGATGTGCAGTGCAGTGAGTGACTGTTGTTGAACCAAGTCTGGGTCTGGGTCTGGGCATGCCCTGTCGTGCCTGTGCCTGTCCAACGCTCCTTCCTGCCTGCCTAGGAAATCGACTTGCCAATAAAAACCCGATTGGAGCTGGCTGAGCGCCTCGGCTGGCTAAGTGCGCAGGTGGGCACGCAAGGCGCTCCTTCCCCCATCTCAATCCCACCCTCACCGTTCTTGTGCAGATGGGGACGCCCCAAACGCTCCGTCGACATCAAAGACTGTGTCTGTCTGGCTGGCTATGGATTTGCAGCTTGTGCTTGCATGGTCGTCCTTTCCTCTTTCGCTTCTGTAATATTTGCTTTTTTTTTTCTTACTGTGCTTTCGCTTCCTTCCTCCATTTCGCCTCCTTTTCGCTATTTTCACCTTCTTTGCTTCTTCTTTGGAACAAACTGTTGAAGGCAGCTGGGCCTACGTCAGTTCTAGTCTAACGAGGCTAACAGCCGACCCCCAACCTAGCGCGGTGGGTTGATGATGGCGTCCTTTTTTCATACCGCCCCTCGACTCTCTGGCTCCCTCTCCGCAATGACAGAGATGACCCAGGCAGCCAAAAGCAGATAAAGGAAGTGAAAGTACACAGTACTTGGGCTTCATCCCGCGGATGTGAGGCAGTAACTTGCTTGTTAGCTTCATCTGCTAAGCAAGGATAAAGATGAACTGAATTGGGCTTTCTGCACGTGCGTGCGTGGGCAACCATGACTGACATCCATCCCAAATCCCTGATCGACGTGAAGTTGCACGAGGGAGGCAGGTACGTCGTGGGATAGTCGCGCTCGAGGGACCCAAAGTCGATAAAACCCTGCAGATCACTTCGAATTCGGGCATCTCCTGCCTCTTACACGACGCCTGCTTGAGGCACAGCGATGATTGGCCAGTCTTGTCAGATACTGATTTACAGAGCAGGTGCTGCTGAGCTTCTCTGTCTACGGAGCATCCACGGAACCTCAACTCTTGTTGCATCCGATGTTGCTCTTCAATACGAGCCCTTCTCCTTTCTTTCTGACGCCGCCCCTGTTATCTCCCTTCTCCCATAATCCACCTCATGTGCGACCTCGAGACCGTGGATAAATCGGGCACAGAATCGTTTGAGGGGCCGCCGCCGCCGCCGCCGCCGCCGCCCTCGTCGGTCCTAGTCCAGGGGCTACCTGCACCCAAGACAGCCCGCCCAGCCCAAAGAGCGCGCCAACGCCAGGTCGCCCTAAGCAATGCGCCCCTGACGGGCCCTGGTGGGAATACGAAAGCACGAGCCAGGCTCTGATGCAGGTACGGAAGACGCCAGAGACGCAGCGCAGCGCAGCGAGACACGCGAGAACGAGACCGACTCTCTCCACCCATGGAAGGATGATTTGTTTGTGTACATGGTTCGTGTTGTCGGCCAATCTGATCCCCTCGTCGGCCTAGGTCCGGCCAAGGAAACAGTATGGATATCGGGAACAGAAACAACAGCCTGGGGACATCAAGACGAACAACTCCCTTGTCCCGATGCGATGGTCCAGGCTCTCTCCCACTGCCATCCCGTCCGTCACCTTGACGCCTCAATTGGCCTCGGCCTCGTGGAGTCACAGGCACGCACACGCCTCCTATTCATCTTTAGACGCCAGTCGGTAATCGGATTGGCCGCCTACCAAGCGCGCCATGGTGTTGTTTGAAAGATTGGATTCTCTGCCATGGCAGCCAGACCCGACCAGATAGCTGACCAGGCCATTCTCTCCAGGTTGAGTGAGCCACGTCTCCTGGCCTTCTATCTCTAGTGCTGATAAGTCAGTGTATTTTGGACACTGACAACTCATCCTGCACCAAGAGGACCACCACACATGGTCCACCAAGCTGTGTGTCTTGCTGGATCAACCACGTGGTTTTTGTCCCTTGAGCATTCTTTTTGATTCCTTGTGCTTCACCCAAAACTGCTCATCCTGCTGCATCTGCGCTAATCAAGGCACTCTGTTCGCCCGTCTGGGTAATCATGCTCATGCACGTCTCCGCATGAGGTGCGCTCAAGCACACTTTGTTCAACCTCTGTCTACCTGACACAAGACGGCGCGCCTCAAGATCGTGGCTGCGCCCAAGTTTCCGATCATGGCAAACCACTACCTATGCATATCTCTGGTCTGGTCGCTGATCGGCGTCGGATATCCATCGCGTCGTCTTGTTTCAGGTCGCTCTCCACGTTGGACCGTGTGTTACCCTTTGGTTCCCTTCCCTTGCGGGTATCAGAGATCTTAGTGTGAGGCCCTGTTTCGCTTGGTGTTTGCTCACCCCTGGTAGATCGCCGCCGCACCGTTGGAGGCGAGTCAGTGCCCTTACGGATATCCCAGTCTCCGACTCTCGAGTTGTGCACTTTCTTGCTCAAGGTTGAAACAATGTTGTCAGCGGAGAGAAGAGGATCTACAGGCAGACAAACATTGTCTCCCACCATGGCCATGACCGCCAGAACCCCTGCTCAGTGTTCCTACTACATCCCTTTTGGGAAACCCGGTCCAGAGACGTGGGATCAAGCTTGAGACGGGACGCACGACAGGTCGCATAATATCTGTTGTAATATTATTCTATTCTTGGCCACCTATGGAGTAGATTGTTAAGCATGGCATGGCATGGCCTTGTCTTCTGCAGTCCCCAGATTCCCATGCTGCTTGCTGCACGCGTCATGGCTTGTCTATTTCGTATCATATCACCCAATACCAGCAGCCGGTGGTTTGGGACGGGCTGACGAGGGTGAACCCGGCAGTGGGCTCACCACTGCCTTCAACTCCCGTCGTCGACGTACCATCCATCCCCAGTTATTCTGGCTCGACATCAGTCATCCATCCATCCATACCTTTTATATGCCCACGTACAACTGACAGAAACCCCGAGAGAGACCATGTCCTTGACGTTGAAACTCGGACCCAAGCAAGACTTACAAGTCCCCAAAAAAAGAAAGAGAGAACGCCCCATGTCTCGCACCAACTGGCCTTGTGAACCCTGTGTCCACTCCCCCATCTCTCGGCCGTGACGTTACCCCTGTCGTTTCCTTTCCCTTGTCTTCCCTGCTCGAGCCTCGAGTTAAGGTTCGAGACAGGTCAATATGCCACTGAGACCGAGTTGTCGGAAACTGGTTGGTGCTCTGCCTTTACTGTGCATCCTTCAATATCCCTACACCCTCTCTCTCCTAGCGGTTGTGCTATTCTTGTGCCGTGTTGCTGACAGTCCGAGACCTGAATGTCGCAGTGCGTGAACCCGTCTGCGCCGCGGCACAGCTCGCAGGCAGTAGAACGAGATCACGGGATTGTCCTGATGGTTCCAAGTTGAGAGGCCCGGGTCAAGGTTTGTGTCTCTGCCGTGTCGCCTTCACCGTGCCACTCGCGTGCCCAGCTTGCCGGTTGACAGGAATCCTCGGTTACCCATCTCGCCCCTCCAGCCAATGCCCAGTGACCCAAATATGATCCTCCCGTCGGGTGTCACTTCAACGTCGCCTCCCGGCGTCCCGGTGCCGCTGCTGTCCTCCACCACGAAACACACCTGCTCCACCTCGCCCGGGTGCAGCACCGGCTTGGTGCTCCCGCTCGCCTCCCAGTTGCAGTCGCGGTACCGCAGTCCGGGCTCTGTATCCAGCACCACCTTTTCCAGCTGCACCACGTCCTCGCTGCAGTTCTCCAGCTGTGCTTCAAGCGCCCACCGCCGCGGCTGTCCGTCGCCGGCCGCAGCCTTGAGAGGTCCGACCTTTGTGCGCACAATCAGTGACGCCTTGCAGATGAACTGATAGAGCTTGCGGAACGTCCTTGTGCGCCCACTCGTCTCAGTCGCCTCGTAGTAGCTGACCGTCACCGCCAGAACGTGGTTGCCCTCCTCCTTGAGGTCGAATGAGACGACCCTCTGCAGTGTGCCGCCAGAGTCAAGGTCCGCCTCGGGTTTGTCGGTGGGCGGACCGAGCTCGAGGCGCTGGACGGCACCTAGGCCGGGCGTCTTCATCTCGGCATCAATGCGCACATCGCGGATGTTCTTGGGTACGTCCGGCAGGAGGTCATTGTTGGCGCAAAGCGTGCAGCTAAACGTCTCGCCAACGTATGCCGAGCCGAACGACACGGGGAGGTTGACGATGGGGCTGAGGAGGAACGGTGATGGGTTCGATGTAGTTTCGGAGCGGTAAGCAAGCGATGCCGGAGCTGGGGCTGGCTTGATGGTCGCGCCTATCGAGGAGGGAGGGTCTATGGGATACTGAGTGACGAGCGAAGGGCGTGATAGTCTTGAGCAGCACCATTGCGAGTTAGACCCGAGGCATTCACATGGAGCCGCGTAAGATAGACAGGAGCATAGCTCACCGGAGGACCTTGAGGGAGATGGAATGAGGTTCCTTGACGGGATCGTGGGAGGGGTATCGCTGATGGCTCATCTTGCCATGTTGCAGCTCTAAAGCGACTATAGGGACGGCACAGAGTTGTGGTCTTCGTGTGTTATGATGATAATCTTGTCCTGATCAAAAGAGGTTGGAGTTGCGATGGTGCTCATGCGACCAAAGGTTGATCTTATCGATAAGACCTGCCCCTCACCAGCCACACTCCTTCAATCATACCGAGCTACATGCGAACAGTCCGAAGCGCTTCTCATGAAGTCTACAGATTCACTACGAGTACTAGAATGATATTAAGCAGATTAACCGTCCTAGGTCGTCATAGTTTGATGACCCCTCAATTGGGTCAAGTTGATACGGCCAGGATAGATAGATAGTCTCAACCTGTAATAGTTATTTCAAAAAACAATCTTTTGCAACCTACTAGAGAGCAAAGCGATCGGTGCGTGCTAGCTTGCACGGCGGCATCCATTCCAAACGACGCGCCGAGACTGTTCCCTAAGTACCGAGCAACTAGAATTCGCATACGAGAACCTGAATCAACGCCCTCTTTTTTCGTAATGCAAGCCGGAGCGTTTACGTACAGAACCAAGGCATTCCAACACCAGCAAGCAAGTCTTTCTTTTCTTCAAACGAGGGCCGTGGCCGTTTCTGTGAGGGGGGAGGGAGGGGGCCTGGGGGCGTACCCTTCAGAGGCCTGGAGGAGGGGGAACCTGCAAGGAGATGTTAGTCAGTTGCTGCACGCGGCACAAGATGCATTCAAGCTGCTCGAGAGTGGACGGAGTCCCACTCTCTCGGGGTTCCACATACCGCGCCGTAGCTCCCTCCAGCCGCAGGGGGAGACCCGGAGGGTGGAGGTGGTGGAGGCGCCGAGCTGGGCGGCGGAGGCGGCGGAGGAGCTGCCTCACTCGGGGGCGGAGGAGGCGGTGAAGCCGATTGCCCAGGAGCGCCTGCAGGAGAGCCCTGGCCCTGTGTTTGGGCTTGTGCCTGGGCTCCATAGTACTGCTGATACATGGCGACATAGCTGCAGAACTTGGTTAGCATCGGTCAACCGGAGTGTTGAGTCAACACCAGGGGTTTGAAAGAGGGGTACTCACTTAGCATATCCGCCATAGGCTGCATAGGGGTCTGCTCCTCCATAGTACTGGGCGTACTGAGCAGCGTAATCGGCGGCATTGGTAGGGCTGTTGACACCAGGAGGTGCCGGGCTATTGTTGGAAGCACCGCCAGAGCCAGAGCCGTAACCACCATAGCCGCCGCTGCCACCATGAGAGCCGCCATAGGAGTTATGGGAACCTCCGTGAGAGCCGCCATGAGAATGATTACGATCACCTCCATAGCGGTCACCTCCATAGCGAGGGGGGCGGGTCTTGAATTCTTCATACTGCTCCTTGACGTTGGCGATCAGATCCTCGCAGAGCTCCTTAGCCTTTTCAACCATGTTGGCATCAGGTCCGCTGATAACATGTTAGCCGACTGTGTTGATATATCCATGGAGATTCTCTTACGTGACGTGGAGGAACATGTCCTCGTCACTTTCTCTATTCGTGGCTGCTTCCAAGTAGCCGGATCCTCGGCCCTTGATCTGCACACGACAACCAGTCTCTTGCTGGATGTGCTTGACATAGGCACCGCCATGTCCAACAACCTGAGCGCGAAGGTTGAATCCATGAACGGGCTCTAGGGTGATGGGGATCTTCTCCTCGGGCCATTTGCGCTGTGGTATATGTCAGTTTGTCCATCTTACATAGTGTCTGTAGTTTCTCACTCGTCCAAATTCGTCTCGTTCGACTTGCTCCTGGTCTCGTCGGCGGAAACGTCGCTCATCGACGAGCTGGGGTAGTTCCTGCTGAATTAGCTCATTGATTTTGGCGACAGCAGACTCCAAGCCTTGCTTGGATGTGCTTGTGACGTGGAGGTAAAGCGGAGGGTTCTATGGAACTGTCAGCGGCATGTCTCTTAGAGTGAAAGCACACTTACAGCAGCTGTGGCCATGCTCTTATTAGGATAGTAATTGCCGCGAGTGGTGACATCTTGCAAAGTCAACATGAAATCCTACAACGACAGTGAAAGGAATTAATTGCGTACCAGCGCCGGTGTCGTCTTTAATCTAAATCAAGCGGGAGTCAGCAGGAGCAACGAAGGGGGTGTCGAAGCGAGCTATCAAGCTGTGTAAGCATGATATCCTCGATTCGAGTGAAGTGCAAGAGGTAATCCGACATGGCGAGTCTGGGAGGATCAGTGGATTTCAAAGAGTATTTACCATTTTCTGCGTAGACCCCTTGGTGAGGAGGTAGCGGTTCCTCAAGTCGTTCACTTCAATATCCTGGATATAGTCGCCATCTGCGACATACATCTCCCCGTTGAGCGCAGGGGCTGTCTTTGAGGAGCTTTGCGAAGTCGGCGCGGGAGCAGCAGGGGAGGATTCGGCGGGCTTGATCGGAGGGACATCGACGTGTTGGATTCCTTTGCGAGCTTGGAGCTGCGCATTGATTCTAGCCGCAGCGGCAGCTGGGGACAGGTTAGACAAAAGTTTGGAGAAAGAAGCGGTCGCGAGAGTGGCCGCGAAGCACAACAACACACGTACCAGCAGCGGCGGCGGCATCGCCAGGTGACTTTTTAGGATCAGAACCTCCATCATTTCCGAGGGGACTACGGTCCCTGCCGGGCTCAGTTCGACGCGCCGGAGGAGATCGAGAGCGACGGTCGAATCGCGAGGCCCTCTTGGGTTCTGGTTCGGTCTGGTCGAAGCGCGAGCGCTTCACCGTTCGGCGTTCGGTATCATCCATGGCGCGCGAAGCACGTGTGTGCTCAGTACGAGATTTGGCCGTCTGTCACGAGTCGTGTCTGCCCTTGTAGATCTCTAGAAAAAGATTCTATGACGAAGTATCCGCGTCGGCGTGTAATGATGCGATTCTTCGAGAGTCTGCGTAAAAAATCGGTAACCGAAGCGCTCGTGTATCGAAGTGGAGCTGTTCTCGTAGATGCGAAAAGAAAGGTTGGTTGGTTTGGTTTGATTTGGTTGGTGAGGGTCTTTCCCCAGCGCCAAAGCCAAAGCCTCACAAAGGTTGTCGTCTCATGCACGGACCTCCCGCCAGCCTTCCGCCACACGTGGCTGGTGCGAGACATGCGTCGGCGCGAAACCGGCGCCCTCGAAAGCGGGCAGCAGTTTTGAGGCCGAGATTGAGCACAGGCTTCAGTGTAAAAGGTGAGCAACAAATGCGTCCTCATTGGACAGTTTGTGTTGCTGTGGCGCAGCCTTGCATGGGTTCGTGGACAGATCTGGGGAATCTGATGGCAGTTGGATTGAGAGCTGCACATTTGTGCGACCAGACAGCAGCAGCCATTGTGTGGTCACATGGACAGCGTCACCTCTAAAAATTTGATTTTTCAAAGTTCAGAAACCCGTTAGATTGCCTCTATCAACCCTTAAACAGCCTTCTCACCAGCTAAAAGCTCCGTCCATCCGCTGGACTTCAGCACTTTCGCGGGGCTGAGATAACAAGCTCCAGCGGAACCCCCCTGCTGAGCTGATCCGTGCCCGCAAACCCCGACCGTCTACCCCATCCACACCTCCTCCGGTCACCGGCCTATCGGTGGCCCATTGATTTTTTCGGCCTTTCCCTTTCCTCCCCTTGAGTCACGATCTCTATCCATCCTTTGCCGGTCCAATTGCTATTTCTACCGCCTCTGGGAAGCATCTTGTTCTGGCTAGAGAACCATACCGTTCTCCTGTCTCTTCAAGATGGCCTCTCTACGGCCCTTGGCCGCGTCCCTATGCAGGGCAGTCTCCACGAGGGGTGTCGCCTCTGTGCGGCATAGCTCCTCTTCGACCTCTGCCATCGCCTACAAGGCCCTTCGCCGTCGCTCTGCGCCTCTGCCCGTGAGCGACAGCCCTCCAGTCTGGTCTGCTCAGGCCGCCGTCTCCAACATCCTCTACGAGACCCCGGTCCCTTCTACCGCTCCTCCCAAGCGCCACATCCTCAACTGTCTGGTCCAGAACGAGCCCGGTGTCCTGTCCCGTGTCTCTGGTATTCTGGCTGCCCGTGGCTTCAACATTGACTCTCTTGTTGTGTGCAACACCGAGGTCAAGGACCTGTCCCGCATGACCATTGTCCTCACTGGCCAGGACGGTGTTGTCGAGCAGGCCCGCCGACAACTTGAGGATCTCGTTCCCGTCTGGGCTGTTCTCGACTACACCAACGCTGCCCTCGTCCAGCGTGAGCTTCTGCTCTGCAAGATCAACATTCTTGGTCCCGAGTACTTCGAGGAGCTCCAGGCCCACCACCGCGAGATCGCTGCTGGTGACCTCGACGTCGACTACGCCCACGAGGCCATCGAGCGCAGCCTGTCGGATATCGCCAAGGACTTCCACCCCAGCAAGCTGGCCATCAGCCAGGCTCTCCGACACAAGCACGAGCATCTCAAGTCCATCACCTACTTTGCTCACCAGTTCGGTGGCAAGGTTCTCGATATCAGCACTAACAGCTGCATTGTTGAGATGTGCGTCATCCACCCCTTGCTCTACCTTTTCCATATACTGACATTCTCTGTAGTTCCGCCAAGCAGTCCCGTATCGACTCTTTCCTCAAGCTGATTGCCCCCTTCGGCATTCTCGAGTCTGCCCGCACTGGTCTTATGGCCCTGCCCCGATCACCCCTGACTGAGGCTCCTGAGGAGGCCATCATCAAGGAGGCTGACGAGGTTGTCGACGCCAGCCAGCTCCCCCCTGGTTAAGTCACGATATCATGGATGGTGGCCCGGCCCCATGGCGTCCGGCGAGGAAAGGATTTGGTTTAGTTGATTTAATTCCAATGACTATTTTGTTGTTCGTACGCCAATGCTCCGCCTCCAACCCAGTGTAGAAACAAAAAAAAAGACACCAGACATGTATACATTTTCCGTTTAGAACTTGCCCTTGTTCACGACAAAGCCCTCAAGAGCGGCTGAATATTGTCAGTTTGAGCCTGATAAAGATTGTGATAAAAACTTACAAACAGCGGCCCAGAGACGGTTCTCGGCCTCGGGGAACACCAGAGATCGGGGGCTGTAGAAGACCTCATCAGCGACCTCCTCGGGGTGTCGAGGAAGGCAGTGCATGAACTTCCAGTCCTCCTTGGCACCTCCTCGCTTGGCAAGGTCGTTGGTGATCTGGAAACCGGCAAAGTCCTTGAGTCGCTTCTGGGTATCGGCCTCCTGACCCATAGACACCCAGGTATCAGTGACCAGCACGTTGGCGTCCTTGACAGCCTCCTCAGGCACGTTGGTCTCGAGGAGCTTGCCAGGGGAGATGACGCCCTCAGCAGCAGAGTTGATGAGCTGCCTCATGTTATCAGGGATCTCATATCCCTTGGGAGCGGCAACCGAAATGTCGACACCCATCTTGACGCAGCCAATAGCCAGGTCGAAGAGGACATTGTTGGCATCACCAACCCAGGCGACCTTGAGGCCATTCAGATCAAGGCTAGCTCCCGTGCTGTTGCTAGCCGGGAATGTCTCATGCAGAGTGAGGAAGTCGGCAATGGTCTGGAGAGGGTGAAAGTCATCGGAGAGGGCGTTGATAACAGGCACGCTCGAGTGCTTGGCAAGAGTAGCGACATCGGAGTGAGGTCCAACTCGAGCAACCATGCACGAGGTCATGGAAGAAATGACAACAGATGTGTCATAGAGGGATTCGTTCACCTTATCGAGTGTTAGCACTAAGTCACGTTGATGGTCACAATTAAACCACTCACACCAAGTTGAATATCATCCTTGCCCAGGAACATAGGGTGACCACCAAGCATAGTTACAGCAGCTTCAGTAGAAACTCGGGTACGAGTGCTACGCTTGCTGAACATCATGGCAACAGCCTTGCCAGCGAGGCCACCGCTGAGCATGCTATGAGGAGCTCCGCCCTTGACAGCAATCTTTCGGGTGTTGGCATCACGGACCAAGTTGGCAAACTCGGTAGGGGTCAGATCAGCAATGGTCATGAGATGCCTCGGGGTAGTGGCCTGTGAGTAGGCTCGCTTCTGAAGGCCATTGACGGCACCTCGAGCGATTCGGAAAGCAGTGGACTTCATGGTGAGGGGACGGACTGGCGGGGTCAGTGAGAGGCTTATATGATCTCTAGGAGTATGAGACTTGCAGATCAGATGTCTAGATGTATCAATGAAAAGAATTGAAAGAGTTTATGCGAGATCGAGTGACGAAGTTTTATTGAGCCAACAGCTGGAGGAGTCATGCTGCATGCAGAGAGCAAGCTCCCGGACCGCGGATTGGCGTCTGCCCAATGAAGAGCCCTAAGAGCTATCAAGACCCATTTTTATCTTTTACTCACGTACTCCGTACAAATCTCTGTAATATTTTATCACAGCTGTTTTATAATCGTAGAGCTCTCCCTAGCTTTTTAAGGCATATACGGCATCTTGAAGATATTACAATTCTCATATTCAAATGCACTTTTTACTTGAAGTCGATATACAGAGCCATCACCGAGAAGCCGGATTTCCAATGGCGATGGCCCTGTTGGTCCACTAACCTGCACGCTAATGTGGTGACAAGGGCGCGCCTTCTGCAGCGCAGTGACAATGAGGTCCCTGTTTGTTGGCGGTGAGACGTTGCAGGGAAGGGTGAGAAGCATGAGCTGAGATTTTGGGGAGTTTCTGAAAAGTGAGTTCATGAAGATCATTATTGGTGTATGAAGAATGGAGAGCTCAACATATTCAGTCATCCCATCTCCCGTGTCACGTGCCCGCTGACGTCAGAAACCCTAAAATAACTTGAGTGCTGGGCTACTACACACCAGAGATGGCATGGGTTTTGAAGCATAGGATCACTCCTCTCAACTAAATACCTACTATACCTTTTCGTCTAATATTTGCAACACTCACCATATGACGTCCTCACATGAGAGGGTCTTGAGGGAGGGTCACCGAGCTCGGAACAGGCCCCAACCCCGATCTCCAGGGCCAATCGCCACGCGAACTTTCCTCTTTGGGCTTGGTGTGGGGCGCGGTTCCTGGCGCGGGCCATTGCGAACCAATCATACCCCGTACCTCCCCACATCCTTATCAATCCATTCCCACCCTGCAACTTCACCATCGATGACGAGTCGCCCGTGCTAACTTGCCTCCATCAACTGTCTTACACCATCACGTTGTTGCTCATCATCTTCCATTCTCTCTTCTGTGGTGTTTGTGACACTTCATCCTCACATCTATCGGGTTACCTCATAGCCGCGACCACTTCAACGACTTACGCGCCTTGTGCGCACCTCAGCCCCATCACATTAGGCGGCCTCACCACCGACAACAGCCCACCATGACCGCCCCCGACGAAACCGAGCCTCTCCTCTCGCCAACGCAGGAGGAGCAGCCCACCGAGAATTCTCCTCTCCTTGGGGATCGCGATGATCGACATAGCGAGGTTGACGAGCATGAAGAACCCTCGACCGAGCCTCAGGCTCAGGACGCTAAGAGCACCCGGTCATCATGGCGATGGCCTTCGATTATCGCCATGGCCTTCCTCGGCATCCTTGTCATTCTCATTATAATCCTCGGCTTCCTTGTTCCTCCCGCCGTCAAAGAGTATGCCGAGAAAGCCGCCGTCCTCGAACCGACAAACTTGTCCATCGAGAATATCACGACCGATGGAATCCGAGCACGAATCCGTGCAAATGTCTATCTCGACGGCTCACGTGTCGACAACCTGAACTCTCGTCGCATAGGAAAGGCCGTTACCGGTATTATGCGAAAGCTTGAGACCAAGGAGACGACCGTCCGAGTTTACCTCCCCGACTACGCCGAAGCTCTTGCCGGCACCGCCGTTATCCCACCTTTGGTTGTCGATGTTGTGAATGGACACACTAATGAGTTGGACTTTGTGGCCGAGGTCAGCCCCGGCAAGGCCGAAGACATCCGAAAGATCGCAAACGACTGGTTGGATGGCAAGTTGAAGCAGCTCAAGGTGGTGGGCAAGACCCAGGTTCACCTCAAGTCGGGCATCCTCCCTCTTGGAGCCCACGATGTGGCTGAGACCATGGTTTTTGAAGGTCAATCTCTCTACCGTTCCTTTGCCTCTTTGTACTTGGGCCAGAAAACCCTACTTTAATCAAATCAAAAGTGCTTCCCTTGTTCAGAACTCGACTAATATCCTCACAGCCAACAAGATTCCGTCCATGCCCGACTACAAGATAGAACGTCTCGATCTCCATGATCGCCCGGTAGACGGTCACGGACGGAAAGTAATTGAGGCAGACGTATCCTTGACTGTGCACAATGACTACCCAGTGTCATTTGAAGTCCCGACTCTCGGATTTGAGGTCCTAGTTCCCAACTGCGACTCGTCACTGCCCTCTATCAGTGTTGCAGACGCCATTACCGACCCCATTCACATTCGCGCCAAGGAGGACGTCAAGGCAGATGCCAGGGGAGTCATCCGTGATATACCAGAGTCCCTTACACGGGCGTGCCCTCATACCAAGACCTCTCCCTTGGACCACTTTATGGATCGCTATCTTCATGGCGAGGAAGCCCAGGTCTTTGTGCGAGGAAAGAAGCTCAATGATTCAGATACTCCAGAATGGATCTCGAATATCCTTGAGAGCATCACTGTTCCCGTCGAGTTTCCTGGGCGATCATTCGACAACTTTATCCGCAACTTCTCACTAACAGATGTCGACTTTAAACTACCAGACCCTTTCGCTGATGCCAACGACCCCAACAGCCAACCTCGGGTTTCTGGAACGACACAAGTGTTGGCAGCTCTTCCGCCTGAGCTGAACGTTGATCTGGCGGTCGAGAAACTCCGCGCCAATGCGGACTTGTTCTACGAGAAGCGCAAGCTCGGCGAGCTCAACCTGCGTCACTGGGAAAAGGCCAACTCTACAAAGATCCAAGACGACGCGAACGATGAAGTCCTACTCAACATCACCTCAAGAGTAGTCGACGTACCCTTGACAATCACCGACGGCGACGTATTCAGCGAAGTGATGCAGAAGCTACTCTTCGGCGACGAGGATCTCATCCTCGATATCAAGGCCGAAGTCGACGTCCAAGTCTTGACCGTCCTCGGAATCTTGACGGTCAAGAAGGTTCCCGCAGAGGGCAAGATTCCAGTAAAACGTTCGTCTTCGTTGTGGTAATCTCTTGCACCCCCCTCGAGGATCACAGTCCTCCATCACACACACACACACACACGCTGAAGTATTTCCTTGACGTGCCTCGCAACTCTGTCGATAGCCACCGCTGACCAGGCTGTAGGAGTTCCTGGAGACACGCTCAGCAAGCTCAATCCTCAGGTTGGAGAGATTGAGATTGTCGAGACCTCGGAGACGGGCGTTCAGATGAAGGGTCTTGTCAACATCACCAACCCTACGCCCTACACAGCCGTGGTCCCCTATTTCAACATACATATTCTCCATGATGGTCAAGTACTCGGAGAGGCTATATCCAGGAACGTCGATTTCGGTCAGGGCGTAAACACAAACATTCTCGTCCACGCAACTTGGGATCCAGCCCGGTTTGGAGGAGACAAGGCACATGAAGTTGGCCGGAAGCTACTATCAGACTACGTCTCTGGCAAGAATACGACTCTCACAGCAAGGACGCATAAGGGAAGTATCCCCAGTCTGCCTCTTATTGGAGACGCTCTCTCCAAGATCAACGTCACTCTTCCTACACCACGGATAAGAATTCCAGGCGAGGATGAGAACGAAAAGCCACGGTTCATCGCCGATGCCACCTTTCACATCCTATCATCTACAGCCACTTTTACTCTGCTCTCTCCTTTGCAGTACAACACTCTTTATATCGAACACATCAACGCCACCGCATTCTACAACCACACCGAACCAGTCGGTCAGATAATCCACGACTCTCCCTTCCCAGCAACACCAGGACGCTCCCAAACTCCGCGTCTCCCTGTGGAATGGTCCCCTGGAAGCGTGGGCTACGGCAAGCTCAAGGAGGCACTGGGCGGAACGCTCAAGCTCGACGCCGTAGCCAACGTGACCGTCAGGCTCGGGAGCTGGACCGAGAGTCTACATTACCGGGGCAAGGGCATCGGAGCAAAAGTCAGCCTGTAAATGTGTGACTGCGACTATCTCGAAATTGTTTTGGAGTTGGCGGCTCTTTGTCTTTGGAGTTTGGGTAACTATTGATCCACGATGGGTTAGCGTTTTTAGGATGAGTGTGTAAACACGGCTCGACAGAACATCGAGATTCAAGAACTTGTTTTTTTCTTTTCTTTATAGTAATTGCTACCATTATAGACTCATACTGTTTTCGCTATCCATGGAAATCAGCATCAGAGACTTCCGATTGGGGCTCAAGAGTTTGTTCATATATCAACAGCTTGTTCATAGCTACGAGTTCAAGCCTGAGCTTCAGCACAGACCTTCGTTCAGTCATTGGTTCAGAGCTATTCACATGTATACCAAAATACAATAGTTAAAGGGATGGACAATGGCCTGCCTCATGCTATCCTTCTACCAAGGGTATAAGAAGGGCACAGTGCCAGTACAGTGAGATGGGTTTGACTATTCGTTTACGCATCATCTTGGACACAGCACAAGCATTCTATACATCAAATCCACACTCAAGCATCCAACACAAAGTCATGCCTTCAACCACAAACAGCCAAAGCTGCTTTCACGCTTGCAAGACAGCCGGGGAGGTGTCGAGCAAGGGTGAGAGCCAGCGTGGAAAGAAGGGCGACGAGACAGCAGCTATGCAAGAGGAGCTGGAGGCTATGTTATTGGCGGCGGATGATCTAGGACAAGAGATGGACGAGGATCAGGACGAGATACTCGAATACTGGATCTCGGAAAGGTAAGAGTCTAGCTCTGGCTGTGTTGTTGACAACCATCAAGTGATGAGTGGAATGGAGTAAACAGGAGAGAACAACCTGTTGGTGGTAGAAAGTAGAAAGCATGTCGTGGTTAAGAACTCTGGACATTCACGCAATAGACCTAGACACAGTGGTTAGGTAGATAATCAAGACGGCACACATACCTGGAGCTATCTTCACATGGTGTCAGCAGGAAATAACAAACTCAGTGAGCACATGAAATAAGGGTAAAGGCACCTTTTTGATCTGAAACTGTCCATTGCCCGGTATTACTATTCCCAATAATCCTGTGTCGTCATAACCGATACTCTTTTTTACGCAAGTCGAACACCTGCTTCCCGACGCTTCTTGAGTTGCTGCTGTGCCGCCAAGCTCATGCCGGCAGACTGGCTCGCGTCAAACATGCTCTGGGCTTCGCGTCGCTTCTCGTCCTCGATCTTCTTGAGGCGCTTCTCCGTCTTGCCCTTTCCGCTTCCCTTGCCGTGGAACTGGTGGCTGAGATGCTTGAATGCCTCCTTCTGGTCGAGGGCTCGTCCGTGCTCGTCCGTGTACTTGAGCTCGACGTTGGGCTTATATCCGGATGAGAACAGCTCGGCCATGCGTCGTGATTGTTGCTGATCGCGCCATGTGTTTTGCTGCCGAGCCCATTCCTCGCGATCACGTACTGACATCCTGTCGAGTTTACCGCTCATACGGTCACGCTCACGCTGGTGGCGTGCCTGATCATCCAGCTCTTCCTCCAGACGTCGCTTCCTGGCCAGGAACTCTTCTCGGTCTCGCAAGTTGCTGTACTCGGTATCACCACGTGCATCTTCGACGAGACCACGCTCTCTTAGCAGCGCTAGAGCGGCGCCCATTCCCTCTCCAACAGCCTTTTCTTCTTCAACACCAGTCTCGTCCACTTCGTCGAGCGCCGACGTTGCTGGCTTCTCATCTTCAGGCTCATGTGCGTTGTCCTCCATGGGATGATCCTCGTCGGGTTCTGGTGATTTTGATACTGTTTTTGGCTTGCGAGGTTTACGCTCTTCGTTCTCGCCAGGCTTGCTTAGTCCAGCCACAAACTCCGATACCTCGCCCAGAACAAGTCCTCCCTCCTCTTGCTCAGCGTGTTCCGGCTCATCTTCTTGTTCCTTGAGCTGCTTGGCGATGTCCTCTGGTCTGGTCTTCTTCCGCTTCTTCAAGGCTTTCTTTCGTTGAATTGCGAGCGATGCCTGAAGATCATCGTCGTCCACAAAAGTATCGTCTCCTGTCTTTCGCTTCTTGCTAGCTGCGCCGTTACTGGAATCGACATCCATGGCATTGCTGTCAGCAGGCGCTGTATCTATAGGAAAGATGTCATCCTCATCAACAGGCTTTTGTCTTGTTCCCTTGTTCTTCTTGCTCTTCTTGGGCTTCTTGACCTTGATCTTTGAAGGATCCAGGTAGTCTGAAGAAACAGGGGCATCACCTGTGGGTTGACACGTTAGTTCTAGATTTAGATATTCATGGTTTGAGAAAAACTTACCAACAATGTCATCAAGACTGACACTCTGGATCTTCCGCGCCTTTTCAGTCGGCTTATCCAGAATGTCTGAGAGCTCTGCGATGGCACCATCCATGTCGAGGGTGAACTTCTTGGTTTTCTTGCCACCGATTTCATCGTCGTATTGCGCAAGAATACTCCGTTCACCTTCCTCTTCATCATCATGAGGGTTGTAACCAGGCTTCTTCTTCTTCAGGTCAAGCCTCTCGGAGAGCTTTTCGGCCTCTCGCATGTTCAAGTTCTCCAGCTCATCGCCTTCGGCTTCATTCTCCTCGATCGTGGTATCCTTGAGCGTAAGGATCTGGTCGTCTCCGTCCAGGAAATCAGCCGTGTCGTGCGCAACCTTGATGCCCGCAAGGTCCTTGGAGGTGTACTGGACTGCAGCCGCAGCAGCAGCTTCGGCCGCGGCCAACTCCTCTTCGAGCTTCCTGGTCTTGGCAATCTTCTTCTGTCGCTTCTTCTGGCCCATGAGCCAGTCCTTTGCGCTCACATCGCCACCCTCTTCAGCTTCTCCGAAACCTTTGCCTTCAATAACAGCATGGAGTTGGGCCTGGTCTCGCGCTTTCCGGATGGCGGCAGCCTTCTCTTCGCGTTTGCGCTTCGCATTCTCAGCCTCCATGGCCTTGTTGTAGTTGTCGTAGGCCTGAGCCTGGCGGCTCTCGAGCGTGCTGGCCACTTCGCCATCGCTGTCGGCGTCATTGGACTCTTGCTTATTCGATGTGTCAGCTCCCGGGACAGGCAAGGGCTTCATGCCCAGGGAGATTCGAATGCGGTTCGTCTCTTCAATCGTCGCGGCGTCCATCGTTGCTATCGTTACCCTACGCGAAGGCGACTTTCGGTTTTGATCAAGGATATGAATGCATTACGATAAAGAAATGACGGGATGGAGCAGGCAGACGCGCTTGAAGTTGGCACGGACCACTTTGCGGCTGCGAAAGCGGATCGGGCATCACGTGATATGCTTCCAGAATTTCCTTTATCAAGGCCGCGATGAAATTTTCTTTCCCTTCTCTTTTCCTTCTACAATCACGGATCTGTGCCCAGCGATCCTCTTCTCTTCGGAGTTAGGGTCGATTGCTGTGCAGCTCGATAATTCTAGGGAGCCATCAACTTGCTATGGTGTCAATCATCCTATCGACAGGTCCAAGAGTAAACGGGTGCTTCTGGCTGCTTCATTCGCTGTCGCAAGACGGCTTGAGTGATTTGGCTGCTGCATCCGAGACGCTATATTCCACCCCCCTTTTCCGAGGCCGTCGGTCGGTGAGGTTGGGGAAAACCATGGTCTGCCTACATATTTAGACTTTTACACCCATTTTTACGTGATGTCAGTGTTCTGCCACAACGAGAGATGTTCAACTCTTGGCAGGCAAAGGTCTAGCCTCGTCCATGGGCAATGTCAAGCTGGGTCTCCGACTGGTCACTGTCAAAACGCCGTTGTTCCGGCCTGCCGGTTGCGTTCAACCCCAGACGATGCTGATCACTTCGTCGGACCGACGCTTGGTGATGATGCATGGCTTCGGGTCTTGGCCTGAATCTGGGGACAATGTCACCTCGGCAGGAGTAGAAACAAGCACTTTCCACGATCTACGGCCCGTCTTCGGTGCTGAGACCCCAGATGTGACTAGGTTGCATTTAGTTGAAGTCGGAGTCTCCTGTGAAGGGTTTGTCATGAGCACGTTTTTGGGAGTTATTGGATGGAACCTGCGACCCCTGTTGAACGGCTTGCATGCATAGGGTAGCTCGTCTAAGCTGTCAGTGAAGCTTAACATCGAGTCTAACGATCCCTCCACGCGGGTCAAGGGAAAAAGAGACACCAGTACAAACATGTTGGCTTGTCCTCTTCTCAAGATGATCAATAGAGTATAAGAAGAGTAGATAAAACAGATCTAAGACACTACCTTTATCACGATTGATTTTAATCATTTTGTTGGATCTTCTACAAATTCACTCATTATACTTGAACGGAGCTTCGGAACTTACCTTGATGTTCTCGTGTCTTGCTTTTTCTTGTCCTGCCTGCCCCCGTGCCTTGCTGGTGTGTGTTACACTCGGCCATTTGAAGCCGAGCAATATTTCATCCGTCCACTCACGCTTGCTTGTCCTGTCAATATTCCAAGTTGAATATGAATATCATGAGATCGTGCAGATTTGGTCGGCGGCATGTGAAGGAGGGCGGGTACCCCACACTCCTCCACAGCTGCCGAGCTCTGGCCCTCTCACATCCATCACCTGAACATCACTGGAACATTTCGTCACATGGTCTCTGGCTGTAGACAATGTCTCAGTGTTATCCGCCGCAAGACAGTCAGATGAGACGTTTTGGGACAAGCTGTGAGCTTCCATGGCTTGAAGAGAAAAAAACCACCACGGGTCGATGTTGACGATGGTTTCTCACTCTGCAGCATACCCCAGGTGAAGACGACTATAGCACAAGTTTCCACTTCCATAACGGCTGGGGATCGTATGCACCGTTTACTCGGCCTCATTCTAAACATTCGGCCCTTTGAACCACACCTCGCTATCCCGCAACGGCTCACGATCACTCCCCCATGGGCGCCTCCGCATCTCCCCATTCGCATTCCGCATCTAACCAACTTGGACGTGGAGAGATTCCGTATTCAACCCCCTGGCCGACATGCCCGCCGTCTATAAGATGCTCACGATGGACCTCATCGATGTTGACGAGGCAGTCTCAAGCCTATCCGTCAACACAACAGCTTCTCTGATACAGCCCTTCATGTATATCCTGTCTTCTACTTTCCTCCTCGGCTCCCTCGCTCTTCAGAGCGTCTTGGGTAGACCGGCGGATAAGATCCAAGTGAGACAATCTGGCATCGAGGACTTTATCAAGTCCGAGAGTCCGATTGCCATCGAGCAACTTCTGTGCAACATTGGTTCCGAAGGTTGCCATGCCAAGAATGTTCCCGCTGGAATCGTCATTGCTTCACCAGACACACAAGATCCTGACTGTGAGTCCCGTGATCCGAAATGTATAACCTCAACTAACAGCTGTCAGACTTTTATACCTGGACTCGAGATGCTGCTCTTGTCTTCAAGTATATTGTCGACAGGTTTATTCACCAGTACGATGCTACTCTCCAGAAGCGCATTCAGGAGTACATTGCCTCTCAAGCCAAGCTTCAGGGCGTCTCCAACCCCTCTGGATCCCTCTCGGATGGCTCTGGCCTTGGTGAAGCCAAGTACTATGTCAACCTAAGCCCCTACACTGGTGGCTGGGGTGAGTTGACACACGAATGCTGTGACTTACACAAGTACTGACAGACTCTAGGTCGACCTCAACGTGACGGTCCCGCCCTTCGAGCCACTGCCATGATCACTTATGCCAACTGGCTGATCTCCAACGGCTACACTTCTACGGCTAATGACATTGTGTGGCCTGTTATCCGCAACGATCTTAACTACGTTGCTCAGTACTGGTAAGCAAACCCGCTTATCCATTCATTACTACAAAGACTAACCTCCATAGGACTCAAACTGGCTTTGACTTGTGGGAAGAGGTCAGGGGCAGCTCATTCTTCACGACTGCTGCTCAATACCGAGGTTGGCTCTAGCCATGCCAAGTCTTACTCTTAGTCGCGATGCTAATCCATATCACAGCTCTCGTCGAAGGTAGTGCCCTTGCCAAGGCGCTCGGCAAGTCTGGCGACACCTATTCCAACATCGCGCCCCAAACACTCTGCTTCTTGCAGACCTACTGGGTCTCGAACGGTAAATATGTCGACTCCAACAGTAAGTTGTACCCCCAGAGACTTTACTACGTTGTTTACTCACAACTCCCAGTCAACGTGAATGATGGCCGCACCGGCAAGGACGCCAACAGCATCCTCGCATCTATCCACAACTTTGACCCCAGCATTGGCTGTGATGCTGCAACATTCCAACCCTGCAGTGACAAGGCTCTCGCCAACCACAAGGCGGTCACCGACACTTTCCGTTCCTACAACCTCAACAAGGGCATCGCACAGGGAACTGCTGTAGCTATCGGAAGATACATCGAAGATGTCTACTACAACGGCAACCCCTGGTATCTCACCACACTCGCCGCGGCTGAGCAGCTGTACGATGCCGTCTACGTCTGGAAGCAGAAGGGATCCATCACTGTGACTGATACATCTCTGTCGTTCTTCAAGGACCTGGTGTCGAGTGTCTCTACTGGTACATATGCCAGCGGTTCGACCACTTTCCAGCAGATTATCGATGCCGTCTCGACTTACGCCGACGGATACGTTGGCATTGTTCGAAAGTACGTGGGTCCAAACGGTGCCCTCGCTGAGCAGTTCTCCAAGGACAATGGAACACCCATGTCTGCCGACGATCTGACCTGGTCATATGCTGCTTTCCTCTCGGCAACTGAACGCCGAGCTGGAATTGTTCCTCCCACTTGGCAAAAGAGTTCTCCTTCGGTTCCCAACAGCTGTGGATCAAGCACAGTCGCTGGATCATACACATCGGCCACGCAGACCTCGTTCCCTCCTTCGCAAACCCCCCAGGACGGCGTGCCAACTCCCACCGGGCCAACCCCCACCGACGGAGGACCTACTTCCTCCCCCACAAGCTGCGCCATCGCCACATCCGTCGACGTCACCTTTGAGGAGGTGGTCAAGACCGAGTACGGCGACACCATCAAGATTGTCGGCAGCATCGCCGCCCTGGGCAGCTGGGACACCACGAAGGCCATCTCCCTGAGCGCCTCCGAGTACACGGCGTCGAACCCCCTGTGGAAGACGACGATCTCCCTCACGGCTGGCCAGGCTTTCGAGTACAAGTACATCAACGTCAAGAAGGACGGCTCGCTGGTGTGGGAGCGTGACCCCAACCGTTCTTACACTGTCCCCAAGACTTGTGAGACTAAGGCTACCAAGTCGGATCAGTGGCAAGGATAAACTTGGGGAGTGATCCGGGACCGAATCTAAACCTGCTTTAACGCCGATAGAAAGGAGTAAGGGAAATATCTCTATCCCTTCTACAGCGAGAGAGATGGTGGTCGAGTCTTGGACAACATAACCGCACTATGTCATGACACAAAAACACGTTCTGACGACGCAACAAAATTTCAACATACTGCACAAAGATCCCATCCATTCGTGTATATAGTCCTCCTTTTTCTGCCCCCCTGGAACGTGTTGTCGGCTCAGGTCGACCAGGCCCCTATTCCACGACTCGCAAGAAACGTCGCTACGAGTTGGCTGTTAGGGACCTCAATAGGGAGACAGGATACTTTCTTCACCCGTTCATAGTTATTACTGAATGTCTATTTATGTCCCCTTTCAAGTTATTTGCTGTTTCGAGTTTGTGAATATTCGGCGGTTTTGTTGGGAATAGGGGCTTTCATCTCTCAGATTGACAATCACCCATTCGCAACTTTCAAAAATGTTGATAGTTTCTTCTTGACATGAATTCATTTGATGTGTCTATGCCTGACTTGCTGCCTCCCTCCAAAACGCATGATAATCGTTGACACATACAAGTCCCATCTCCCCTCCTCCTTGGATAACAATCCCGACGGGTTTGCTCCATGTGATATATCCCAGTCCATTTGGCCCGTTTGTCCCTCGTTCCGTGTTGTCCTCCATCTCTTATCCTCTACGCAAACTCATCGTCCGCCTCCTCGATAGAGTTCTTGATGCGCACCAGGATAGTCGTCTTCCACTTGTCGAGCTTGCTGATCTGGTCAAACTGGAACAGGCGGTCGGTGAACTGCTCCTGGCTCTTGGCCTCGATGGCCTCGCAAAGGTCCGTCAGGAGCTGGTGCTCGCGCTGGGCGGCGAACGAGGGGTCCATGTCGCGGTACTTTTCCAGGGCGCGCTGGGCCGCCACCAGGTCGCCGCTGGCCAGGTGGCAGATGCCCGCCTTGAGGAGGTAGTCCTTGACGCTGTACTTCATGAGGTTGTTGTTGATGGACTGCTCCGCCACGCGCTCGTACTTTTCGATGGCCTTGTAGTAGTCGCCCTCGATGGCGGCCACGTCGGCAACCTTGAGCCAGAGCTTGTTGGCAAGACTTGGGATGTTAATAGGTACCCATGAACAAAAGTGTATATTAACTTACGCCGTGGCATTATCACCCTCGTACCAACTAGCAGCCAGCTCGTAGCACTCGAGCGCGCTCTTTGCGTCGCCGAGATCCACCTCGTACAGCTCACCCAGGTTCTCCTTGTGAGAGGCAGCGCGGCGGAAGTTACCCTTGGCGCAGTATCGGTCGACGGCCACGTTCAGACACCTGGCGGCGGCTTGGGGATCGTCCTTGCGGTAGGCCTTGAAGGCATCGACGAGGGTGTTTGCGGCGTCATCGGGCTCCTTGAGCTTCTCGGTCTGGATCTGTGCGGCCTGCTCAAAAGCCTTTCCGGCTTCGACATCTTTTCAAGTTGCCTAATCAGCTTGCGTTCGGTGTGTATCGGCTAAAGGTAGCAAGGACGCACTCTGCTGCTGCATCTTGAAGGCGTTGGCAGCCTGGGTAAAGAGGTCGGCGGCATCTTGGTACTTTTCCTCTCGTCCACCAAAGAAGCTGAAGCCGCTACCTGCGCCCTGCAGGGTCTTTTGGGCCTGTGAACAGAAAACGTGGTCAGTATTCGTTGCGACTCGTGTGCTTATGGCGTGTCGGGTGTTGGGGTCGGAGACAATGGCGGGGGAGGGGTTACGGAACCTTTTGGAGGAGGGCTCGAGGATCTTGGGCCATGGCTGTGAGGATTCGCTATCTGGGTATCAAATGAAGTATGTCAAAGTAGAAGAGGAAAAAGAATGAGCCACGTTAGGGTAAGTTTGGCTTTGGGGATGGGCGATTGAAGACGTAGGTATCGAGGTAGAGTTGAGGCTGAGCTATGACGACGGGGTCGCCTGAGCCACATTTGGTTTGGCACAAGTGTCAGAGCCCGGTTAGTGGGGGTTGGGTCTGCCTTTACCGGCGCATAAAATAGCCGCCGCCGATCCCTTCAAAGATTGGAATTGGTATCACGAGAGATTGATAACTCAACGATACACTCTCAATCACGATTAGAAACTCTGATGAACCGACGACATTCAGAGAACGCATTGGAGTTCGACAATTGGCCTACGATCAACCACAATGGCACTCTGCTCATCCTGCCGTCTCGCCCTCCGGCGCTCCATCACCACACGATCTATAAACTCAGCGACAACTCGCACCTTGACGACAAATTCAAGCTCGAAATCGACTGCCGCCTCCATCCTTGAGAAGCCCACCTGGTCCGTCCGCAGTCTTCTCCCCTCATCACCCTTATCGGCACCGGCAGAGACCATCACACCCGCCCAGCTCCACCATCTCCTCCGTCTATCGGCCCTCCCTCTACCTCCAACACCAGCCGACGAAGCTGCCATGATCAATACGCTACAAAACCAGCTGCAATTCGTTCGCGCTGTGCAGAGGGTTGACACCAGTGGTGTAGAGCCTCTACGGGCCATCCGCGACGAGACAGACGCAGCCCACAGCGAAGTCACCATAGGACTCGCCGACCTGGATGAGGCATTGAGCAGTGAGGTTCTCGTGGGTCATTATCAGCGCGCGAGGAGGGTTAGGGATAAGGTCGAGTCGGAAGCTGAGAAATGGGATGCTTTGAGTACCGCGGGTAGGACTGCGGGAAGTTATTTTGTTGTCGAGAGTGGGAAGAAGGATGTTGAGGGGATAGAATGATAAAACACAAGTTGCAGATATGATACCCATTTGGACAACAAAAAAAGCATTGGCATAATTATATCATTCGCCATGTAATTGCACGCTCTTGAATCTAGAGCATCCGCCCTCCACCGAAATACCCTTCTAATACCGTGTGTGGTGTGTATGAACCCAGAAATCTATACTTCATATCATCATGGCCGCTCACCACCATCCTTCCCCTTCCCCTCAGACCGCCCGCCATCCTATGAAGACGTACCCTCGGGTCCATCCTTTGGTTTCGGCTTGGGCACCTTTTCGTACGCGTTGGGACTCGGCGCCCTCTTCTCTTTACCCTTCCCGCTCTTACGCCCCCGCCGTCCGTGGTCGTGTCCGTGTCCGCAGCTCTGTCGCTTGCCGCCCGCCGGTCGCGCGCCTTCGGGTTCCGAGTCCGAGTCTGAACCGGAGGACGAGTCGGAGGAGGATTCGTCGCTGGATTCGTCGACGGGCTTGGGTTTGTGATAGATGCAGCACACTAGAGAGACAAGATGTTAGCACGTACTCGAGAATATCCGTAATCAGAACATACCCTTGGAACTCTTCCGCCCGAGACCCTCGTTGTCCACAACGTCCTCTGCCCACTGCACCGACCGTCCATTGGAAGTATGTGCGCCTCGAAGTCTCAGGATCCGCGGCGCTGACTCGCCAGTCTCGGGCTCTTTGGGGGTCTCGGTCTGTGTCTGCGCAGGGGCCGGCGCATTGCTCTGTTGCTGCTGTCGTTGTGACATGATGTATTTGCTCATGTGATGGTATTCAAGAGTAGAGAAGGAGAAGAAAAAAGAGCGTGGGATGAGTTGGACGAAATATTTGTTTGCAAAAGACCTTGTCACGCGCTGGTTATGGAAGCGGATGGCAAAGGAATGAATCGTCGTCGGTCATGGAGGGGCTGAGCCCAAAGAAAAAATCCGGGGTTCGCCCCCACGTCATCTCCTGTCAATGAGGTGATGTTTAAGCCACTCACTCATAAAGTGCATATCCTTTTCTTTGAATGCCTTGTTTTCTTTTAGGTGTGTTATACAAATACTACTACAGTCTATGCTTTCATGCAAATAGTATACATGTGACATTATACAGCGTCAAATCTTACACTCGTCGTCATTCATCATGACTTCCTCAGTCGTGCTCTCATTCAGAGTTCATCTGGGCTCCTCTCCTCTCCGCCTTGGCCTTCTTCTTCTGCCCCTTCATGCTCCTTCGTGGCCGGCCTCTCTTGTGCTCCGCAAGCACTCGTGGTTTGTTGTTCATCCATCCGTTGATGGGTCGACGAGATCCAACGAATCGACCTTCAGGGCTGTAAACGTCGACGGCTGGCCAGTCCGGCTCCGGCCCCAGCTGTGGCTCAGGTTCCCTGGTTCTCACAGGTTTCACGGGTTTCACCACAACTGGTTTGGTATCCCTCCTTTTCGCCGCAAGAGCCAGGAAAGGATCAGAAAATTCCCCCTTCTGTGTCGCTCGCTCTGCAGGTGGTGGTGGTGGCTCTTGGGGCGGGGTGATCAAGGGCCTAGCGACGTCTTGAGCCCGTACCTGAGCCACCAACTCAACGTAGCCAACACCCTCGATGAGGATATCAGTCGAAACCACTCGGAACGGTAACCGATCAACCGTCAGTCCGACTGCGTTCTTCCTTGTCAGGGGACCCGCTCGTATCTTGGTAACGTCGTGAGACAACTTGAAGGTTCCAGCATGTCGCATCTTGTCTCCAACACCAGGGAGCATAATACTCGGGACGCCAATAGACTCGCGCGTCTGCTCCTGGAAGGCAATCGCCTTGTCAGTCTGTGTGAGATGCTCCTCCAAGGGTGTAAAGTTGTAGGCGAGGAACACCGTGTTGGGGTTTTTGGGTGTAATGCGAATAAGTCCTCCTCCGAGGATAAGCGACTTCCCTGGCTTCATAGAGATCTGCTCAGGGACGATCCGTTTCTTCATGATCATGGATTGTCGGCACTCCTCCTTGACAAACAAGTCCAGGTCGCTTCGTGCCAGACCCGGCAGATCAATCAGCTCGCCCTTTCCGTTTCCAAATGGTACTCGAATCGGCGATGCGGTCGTTCCAGGGAGTGACGAAACCAGTGGCATATCGGGATAGTTCTTGGCGGGCTGCGCCGGGGGCAGCAAATCTCCAACGTCCACGTCTTCCCAGTCGCCTTCTCCGTCTTCATCGACAGCAATTGACTCTGTGTTGACGGCCTCCCGAGGATATGTCGATACCGATGCCCGCTCCGCATCTTTGCCCAAGTTCATCCTACCCTTGGGGTAGACAGCTTCAAAGAGCTGACTCTTACCCACGTTGACCTTTCCAACCATCCAGCCCGCACCACCACGACGCCAGATATCTTCCTTGACATCGTTGGTCCACCATGCTCGTCGCGCACTAACACACTTGACGTTGCCCAGTCGCACACGGCCTCCAAGCCGACCCAAAGCGTCTCGTAGCGTCTCACGCAGGTAGGGCATCATTGAATCAACAATCTCCTTGGTAGGTCCCAGCAAGTCTCCACGAGTGATGATGAAGCTTAGTTCTGTTTGCCGATCCTTCTGGTACTTGCCCGATCGTGATCGTCTGTTGCGAGTCCTTATGGGGATGTCTCCAAGCAAAACATTGAGTCGTGGGATCAGTGACATGGGAAAGTCAGCGGCGTCGATAACGTGGTAAATGTGGTTGTATTTGTGCGGTGACTCTTCGATCGTTTCGCGCAGCGACTCAACCGTAGGATGGTACATGGTGACTTTGGCAGTATCGCTCGTAGTGCTATAGTGCTGCAAATTGTGGCATCGGTCGCATACAGGTTGCTTGTCCTGAGGAGGTGCTTCTACCATATATTAGTTTCAATTGCATCAATGGACAGGAAATATACCCACTGGGAGCAGCATCGCCCTCTGTCTCTGCCCCAGACATCATGAGGGACGGTTTCAAGCCAAGCGCCTCCAGCTGGCTCTGATCCAACGTCTTGAGCACATCATCCACAACTCCATCCTCTTCGCTCGCCGTGCGCTTTGGCTCATATGCTTCTGGGTTCAACCACTTCTTGACTCTTTTGCTATTCAAGTCAAAGTACCCCAGCAGCTGAGGATCAGCCGTTTGCGAAAAGGCGCCACATCCTGTACAATTCAACGGAAGTCGTCTCCGAGGCTCTGCGGGAGCTTCTTTTGGGGGCAATTCGGTTTCGGTAGCGGGGGCATCTTGAACAACCGCCTCGGTATGGTTGAATCGTCGAGAATATAGTGTCGTGGTTGTTGAAGACGGCGCAGCTCTGGGCGTTCTGATATAACGAGCTGATCCCACCGCAGGACACAAGAAAAGAGGAACACTCGATGAAGCAGATGCTTCACCGATGCTGAGTGCCCGATTAAGCCATCGGGCCGACAATGCTCTGTGCATTGCGTTTCCAAACAGCTTCAAGGTTGAAGATGATCGCAAACCAAAAAAAAAACTCCCGACTTGGAAGAAATCCGCATCCAAAAAATTCCATCCCACTACGAAGATCCTTGGCACGCGACATGTGCGGCGGCCCCACTTGAACATTTCCCATCCCGGGTCAATGCTCGGCCCGCACTTTGTCGAAACGCAGCAGGGTCTGGTCGATTTTACTGTCGACTTTTCGAAGCCATCGCGAAAGCCTCTGGATCTCGGAAAGAACATTAGCGCATTTCCAATCGAGGGTTTGCGTGGTTCAAGATGAGGTCTCTCGGCGAACGTCTCAACACACTTCGTAGGGTAAGTCAATTGTGCACAATGCCTTGAAGAATAGACCGCTGACAAGCTTTACAGAAGGTAGATATATCTCGCCATTGAACGACCGAAAGACGACCCAATGCTTACACCGTGTACAGCTAATCAACATAAAATGCGGTCCCGGCGCTGCAGTCCTCCCCCCGGAGGTAACTAGAATACACATGGACTTTGCCAAGAGCCTCAAGGGTCATATGGGAGCCAAGTTGGTCACTCGGTCTACACAAGCATATCATATCTAACGTCCCTTCCAACAGAAAGTTCTGGCGAGAGAACCTCCCCCGGCTAAAGTACCACAACCCCTCGGTCCCCATGATCGTCAACCGCCACGCCCAAAGCGAGAACAAGCCCACCCTCTCCATCTATCTCCGCAAACCCGACGCATCCTCTCCACCCCCCGCGACTCGCAACCAGCCCGCCTCCTCGCGCGACAACCTATCCAAGGCCGCTCCCCCTGACGCCGATGAGAGGGTCGTGACCATCGACATGAGCGAGAAGCACTCGTCGCACATCCTCGAATACGTCCTGGCCGAGACCCGTGCCGTCGTCATCCAGCCCACCAAGGAGGAGATCCGAGAGCTGCAGGAGATTGAAGCCATGCGCAAGCAGGCCGAGGTCGACAGGGATCGCATGAGGGAACTCCGGGAGGAGAAGAAGCGCGAGGAGGACATGCTGAAGAGAGCCCGGGCAGCTGGTGGCGTTGGCGAGGAGGAGGAGTCATGAACATGAATGACGACGGACCAGAAAAGATGGATATGACGCTGTACAATAAATGTATTACTCGACGCCTTGAATCTGGCGGGTGTACAAGTTGGGGATATAAAAAATACCACCAATGTTTGTTTGATCTGTTAAGAATGGGTTGATGTTGAAGCATGATGAGAAAATGATCAAATTTTACCTATTGGGTTTTACCTTTGGAGTGATATTTCACAACATATTTCATATCTGCGTTTTAGTGTATTCAGGGCACTTGTAATGGCTTGAATTCATGTTCTAAACACCACATCATGGCGTTGATGTAGTTCGGTATAGTCTATATATGCGTTCCCAGTTGAAAACCCTCCCAAACTCCATAGATGAAACGGAATGCCAATTCATAATTTCGTCAAGTGTATACTTTACTTTAGTCCAAAGCCCTCACTCTCACGGACCGCCGTCCACAGCAACTTTTCCAGCCTCTCCTTGGACTCGTACCGTGAGAGGGACAGCATGTTGAAGCATGTTCTGGCAATGGGGTACCTGCCCTCATCTTCTCCGAGGCAGGAAATCTTGATCGGTAGGACAGCGGCACCCATGGCAGGGATTCGGTCACTACCAGTAATGAACAGCAACAATTTGCGCTGGTCTTCAGGCGAGGCCGCTTTGAATGTCTCCCAGAACCAGTCGATAACAGGCTCGGAACCATCTGGCTTCTTGCTGCCCCAATTGTCGTACTCGGCAACACCCCGTAGGGAATCAATATCGAGGGCCTCATCTGACCCTCGCACAAGAAGCTCAATCTCTTCCGGTCGGAACAGAGACAGAGCATTACCTCCGCATACAGTGTAAAAGCCCCTCTTGAAAGGCTCAAACTGCCTCGTCACGGACACATCGATGATGTACCGCACGTAAAGGTCCACATATTCTCGCCGATTATTGTTTGTGACGGGAATGCGTTCACCTCCTGGACAAAGAGGAACCTCGACGGTAGTGCCATATTTCTCCGTCTCGATGACAAAATCGAGAGCAAAGGTTTCCTCCACATTACCCTCATACTCGAGCAGTTGTCGAAGTCCCCGAGCCAGTCCAGGTCGATATTCGGCAAGATCCTCGAGAGTATATCGCATAGGTGGCCTGGGGTGGGAAGAGGCTCCTGTACCCTGAGTTGGAGCCGATGCAATGAGTTTCCGGAAAGCAAAAGGTGGAAGAGCCAGGTCCAGAATAGTCGAGTTGTAGATAGCCAAGCCCATGACAACACCAACCAAGAAGAACTGATCTGACGTCTCGAACGAGTTGGGGTTGAAATAGCAATGCTGAGAGTCCTCGTCATAGATAAACATCCCTGGAACAATGTTAGCTTGATTTAGCGACAGAGAACGCAGTTCCTCTCACCATGGTCGGGATTGAAAACTTCTCTGACGAGGAGCAAAAACCATTCCTTGCGCAAGCCGCCAGCATCAACTCCCTCCTCGCCCTTGAAAGTAATGCGAAGGCCTTTCTTGATGTCCTCGCTCCCGCTTCCAATGACCTCACTGACAGCCTTTAGACTGTCGTCGACCAAGCAATCTCGTCGTACGTTGAGTTCGAGGAACTGATTGATGGCCTTGCGACTCATGATGCTATCAAAGAAGGCGTCTCGGGCTTTGCTCTGCATCTGACGACGAGCATCATGCTCAAGGATGTGGTTCTTGGCCCAGATGCTAAGGAGGAATGGATACTGGCAGAAGGAGAATTTACCTCTCCGAGCTTCCCAGTTCTCAAAGTCGGCGATCAGATCAGTATAATCAATCATGGAGTTATAAAAGTCGCTCGTCGGCAGCACCTGTCCGTGAGAATAAACAGTATCTCGACTCGATCCGGTGCCGTTCTTGCCAGTGATCGGCGGTGCGTCTTCACTCCGCCTCCCATGAGAGAGGTTGTTGGCAGCAAATAGGAGAGCCAGAACTCGTGAAGAGGCCTTTATCTGCCAATCGTCGCTGTACACAATCTTCTTTTCAGGCTCCTTGGTCTTCTTTGAGGAGCCAGAGCGGTTGATTTCGTCATAGAGATAGGCCCCCGAGCGTCCTTCTTGCATCTGTGGGATCAGGCCAGCCGTAATGTCAACTCTGACTTCTCGCTTCTTATCCCTTTGGCGCAGCATGCGATATGTGAGGAAGCCAGAAGCCAGCTCCTTCGTCCTTGTAAATCGAGAGGGGTGATGTCTCGCGAACCAAGTGATCAATTGGTTGTGGCATTCAAGCGACGAATTAGAGATCAGCCCAACGATGCGTTTGATGATTCCAGAATGTTGGCCAGAAAGGAGGCCACTTTCAGGAGTGCCCGTTTTCCCAGCTCGTGTGTCTTTTGCTGCTGGTGGCTTGGGATCTGGCTGGAGGATGCCGCCAAATGATTGATGGTCTTCGTAAAGGAGTGGGTTCTCAAGCAGTATGAGAAGAAACCGCAGCTCTGCAGGGTCCTTCAGGGGCCTTCCGGGTCGCTTAAGGAGCATTTCAGTTGCTTTTAGTAGCACACGTCGAGCATGCTCTTGGCCCTGCAAAAGATCTCGCTCGAAAGACTGCAGCTCTCGTGTAGTAGGCGTCTGGAAGTCATCAGCCCCAGAGAACTCTTCATATACAACGAACCAGCCAGCGGCAGTATTGACGACAGCGCTGTACCAGCCCATCAAATCGCCCCAATTCATCTGTGGGGTCTTGGTAATTGCTGGAACGCTTGAAAAGCTACGCTCGTTTCGATGTGTTGGTGGTCTCCGAGATCGCGTCTCCTCCTGGCTGCCAGTCCACCACGTTCCATTCTCTGCAAAGTCGCCCAGTAGAAGCAGTTTCGGATCAAGATCAAACGTTCCATCGTCTCCTTGGGGATTACTTCGTTCCTCTCGCTGTTCGCGCGCTTGCCGATTTTCTGAAGGTTCCCGACGATGCTCTCGTTTCTCTCGAGGCTCGTGTTGTGCTACAGGCCTCCAGCGGGTTGATTCGCTTCCACCTCTTGGGGGATGGCGATGATGATGGGTCATGAATGACGAGTTGATGCATTCGAATGAGCCGAAACAGGCAACCAAGTAGTCTTCTAGCGGCTTGAATATTCGCTTGGGATCGCTGTCGTCTGTCATTGAGGGTGGAGTGTGGTCCTTGGACCCATCGCCTGACAATATGTTCTGTACTGGGGTTTTTTCTGTGTACGAAGACGAGTAAGATCGAGCAATAGGCGCAGAATTCGTGCGCTGAGCGCTGGCTCGTAGGGTCGGCTCCTCATCGAATGTATAATGCGACACATGTATAGTGGGAGATTTAGAGGGAGCCGATACCTCCCGTCTTGAATCTATCACCACGGGTTTATGGCCAGCAGCTTGCATTCGGCTGCTAAACGATAGTCTATTCTTCGAATGATTTTGAGCATCGTGTGCGGGTTTAGGAACTCGATGTAGTTTCTTGGACAAGTACGAACGAATGCATTGCTGAACAAGTCGTCTCGTTTGTTCGATCGAGATATGCGGGACTGCATCGCTATCAGCAATTGATCCAACCCGTTTCCGCGAACGCCTACCTCTTGCCGGAGAGGGTTGGGGTGCGCCAGGGGGGCCTTGGCTTGCATCGCGGCGCGTTCTCGAGGTGACATTGTCCGCACTTAGCGGCTCCAGGTCATTGACAGTGGTACAGATGGTGCACTTGAAAACCTTGAGGTCCCTCGGCCACCGCACTAGGGAACCACAGGTCATGCAGTTTCCCGTCGCAAAGTCTCTGCTCCCTGCAGGACCCCCTCGAGTATGGGACGCATTCCGGCCGTGGTTCTTGGGTGCTTGTCGAGGCATTGCGGCGTCATCATCTGCAAAGCCCAAGTCGGGCGGAGGCGCGCCGACGGAGTTCTGCCTCTTCTTCTTGCTGCTAAAGAGAGAAGGGAAGGGCTGGCTCATAGAGCGCGTGTGCTGGGGTCGGCGAGCAGGCTTGGACGGTGGTCGCGAGGGGTGAAAGTCGGATTCGTCGGAGCTCGAGTCGGCGTTGGCATTGGAGATGGACAGGTCGAAGTTGCGACCGTTCGGTGTCGGTGGCAGCGCTGTCGAATAGACTGCGTTGAGAGTCGTGGGCGTGTGTAGGGCGGTGTTGTGGATTCGACTGATGAGGTCACCAGAAGAGTTGTTGTTGGGTTGAGACCCACGACGAGTCGACCAGGGAGCCATTTCCAGGGAAGCCGCCGAGGATCAAGGGAGCTGGTGTGATGGTCACGGGACGATCGTCTAGTTGGGGGGAGAGCCCTTGAGCTCGAATTTGCCGACGGTGACGGGAAAGAGAAAGATGATGACTTTGGAAAGAAAAAGAAGAGTGTTTCTTCTCCCTCAAGAAAGCATCATCAAAAGTCTGAGAGTCCAAAATTGGAAGCAAGCCTCGTCGACGCCAGGTACGCCAGGATGTCAGGGGAACCGGGCATAAGCAACGTCGAGGGATACGGTACACAGACGTTCAGTTCAGCTTTGTCCCCTTCGAGTTCCAGGGATGGATGCAAAGAAAAGGTCAACATTCAGGCGAAGGAGTAGTGAACCGATATCGTTAAACAATCCCGCGGATGCGGTTGGTGAAACAATGGACAAAAGCCAGCTCAGTACAAGAATAGCTTGCTCGACGTGGTGATGATACAGTGGGCTACAGTACAAGTAAGGCGGCCGACCGGCTTCCGGCTTATCAACTGCGACCAAGATATCCTGGCTTCTGGTGAACGAATTCGTCCTGAGCGTCTTGCGCGTTCCGCCGTATCCGTCATTCACAGGCATGAGAATCCAATCGAGGGTCGGGTTTAAACGCCCAGAAGCAGGGGGTCAAGAGGAACCGCGACGAATACGGACGGGCATTGCCAAGGGGACGTGGAGTTCCAAGCGGCCGCTCAGGAATGAAGTGGACAAGCAAGATAAAAATGCAGGATTGACATTTGCTTATCCGAGCTTGGACGGAGACGCACCATGGGACGGGCTCCTCCTTGGCTGCTACCGGGGAATGCGCTTATACACGATCTCGAGTGCAGCGTTGGACCTCGTATTCTCCCATTTTCGCTTCATTTATAGTCTCGCCCAATGAGCGTGAGAGTTGTCACCGCATCTGGACTTGCTACTACAAGGGTAGTATCACGACAGTTTCAATGATAGTTGCCCGCTCATGACATCAACTGCACACTCCCTAAAGGGAAACTACTCGGAGTAATCTCCAGGAGATGCTGACCTGCAAACATGGACCAGATTCAAATCCCGGATCCGAAAAAAAGAGACGAGATGAAACGAGATGCAGGGGCTTTGTTAAGCCATTGACGATCCCCGCAAAATTACCCCTGGCGGCGGATGTTTGTGGCGGCCGAGGGACGGGCCCGTCAGCCAGTGGGCGCCAGCGAAGCGGCCGAAGCCGGCAGCCGGCCGGGTCTTGAAGGTTGTTGTCTATCACCTCACGATTCGTGTCTAATCAGTGATTCACCATTTCGTATTCTTCCTTGTCGTTTATTTGGACGCAAATGATATGGTGCCTTCTTGACGAGTTACCTGACACGCTCGTCTCAACGGATTAGCCGAGGACAGATTAATCTCCATGTTGGTAACCGGCTTTCGGTTGCGTAAAGTATGACGGCCATAACCTACCACTAGCGGTTCAACTCCCAAGCATACAGCATCTTTGCAAACGTAATCTTGGAACACTGTGGCGTGGTAACGTGATACTTCAGAGTCCAATCGGCGATTTATCCTCTGAGTTGATGAATCAACACGTAGAACAGGGGTTAATCTTGACACAACAGGACAACATCAACCCCAGTAGGCCGCAGGGAATTATACGGGCTGCGCATACGGATAGTGACTGGATAACTCTAACCCATCGACAGGATTCTATTCGGATATCCACAAACACCAGATAAGCTGAGTTTCTAGTTAACCTTAACTCAACTGGAGCTTCACAACACGAGAAACTACCCTAGAGACTGGGCCCAAACACACAAGTCCGTGCAGTTTTCATGCAAGGATTCAATCTATGTTTGTGGAATCACTGTAGGCTTTTGCTCTCGTGCATTCAATTGCCTTGTAACCGAATGGCTGTGATCGCTTGGTATTCATGCTAATAGATATATCCAGAGTGTGTCCAACTCACCGTCGTCAAAACCAGTCCCTTGTTATCCAAGCCTACACCGCAACGCCAAATGAACGCTCAAACAGTTCCGCCCGTGCCGGTCATGACGCGACATGTTTCCCGAGATCATGTCATTTCAATGCTGGAGCAGCTCCGCAAACTCCGGTTTCAACCCAAAGATAACATCAATCTCCTTGATCGTCTCGCTGCACCACGAGCTCCCCTCCACACCGACTCCCACCAGCCTAGCCATATCTGATGGTGCCACCCCAGGTCGCGTCGTGCCATGCAGCGTGTAGTCGGCCTGCCCCCGGACAATGTTCAGATCGCCCCTCAGCTCTGCCATGGTTTCGCCTCGGGTGTTGCGCAGTTCAAAGATGCAGCGACCGTGATCGATCTCCATAGGGCTCAGATTATCTAGGCGAAAGGTCGCCACAATGCCATTATCACTGGAGCGTGATAGCTTCTTGAGCTCCATTTGCGGCCCGTTCATACACTTTAGTGGGATATCGAGACACATTTCGCAGCCCGATGAGGTACCCAAAGCTCCGACAGTGCACCAGCCATTATCGAGCTGGAAACTGCTATCGCTGTCGAGCATGAGGCTTCGGATGAATGTTCGAAAGGCTGTCATATCGGTAATGTCGATGCGCTGTTCCTTGACTAGGACCTTGGTACCCCAGAAGCTCGTCTGGACTTCAGGCAACTCTACCGTGCCAAAGCTGAAGCCATTGAAGGAAAGTTCGACGTCCATAGCGCCGATGATACTGGAAATGGCACCAGAATCGACAAGGCGGCTCTCGATGGCAAGGCAGAAGGAGCTGGCACACGAGTCAACTAATGCCATAAACTGCTCACAGTGACAATGCTCACCTTTCAGAAGCATTACTGATCTTGATCTTGGTAACTTCGAGGCTCGCGCGGTCCAACAAATACTGCATCACTGTGTCCATGATGCCAAACGGGGAGAAGCGTGCTCTCTGACGACGAGGCCTCGGATCAAGTCTTGAGTCGAGGATCGGCCGGGCGTAGGCCTTAAACAGCGGCGAGTCGGCGATGTTCATGGCGGTTGAACTGATGACTCGTTCAAATGCAGTCTCGTGCTTTGGTATCTGAACTCAAGACCGGAATCCCCGGGTTCAGCAGGAGAGGAGAGGTTGGTCTGGCGCGACTCGGTCTAGTCAAGTATGATGATTGAAGGCGTTGGTCAAGTTGGAATATGCGTGCGTGAAGAACCGCAAGAAAGCAAACACCAGGACGGATTGATTCTGGGCAGTGCAGAGTAGACAGCCTGGAAGTGCGAGACAGGTGCAAACAATGAGCTGAGAGTATGAACCAGCGTCAACCTACATATGAATGTCCACGACCCAGCCATCCATCCAACATTATCAGCTGTCCTCCTGCATAGCCCATCGCTCATCGCGCAAGACATCGACAAGGGGCATCCCACTCAACCCGGAGGCTCCCGCTGTCTCTATACACGTACAGCCATGCATCCATGCTCTGAGGTTGGGATACTATCAATGCGCCCTGCAGTTGAACCAACAGGCGCAGAAAAGCTTCAGCATGCAGTCAAAGTGGCCTAGCGGGACTAGGATTCACCACCAGATGTTCACTCTTGTGGCTATGACAGCTTAAAAGGAAGGCCAAGTCATTTAATCTGATCTCATGTCAGCTTGAGAATTGGGTTCCAAGCTGCGCTCACCATGTTTCCGCATCTTATTGGGTGGTTCGGGCCTATTTCTAAATCTGATAGGATCCTATAAGCGGCCATCTCACAACTGAGTTGCCAAAAGGAGCAAAAAGAAGACAAGAAGAGCCAAGGTATTCACCGCTCTCGTTCAGCCCCTTCAGCTCAGAACATGGCCTGACTTGCACAGCATGGATCTGGTCTTGAAATCATGCCAAGTAGCTCCACCGCAGACATACATGCAGATAGATGCAGCTGTCTTGCGGGGAAGCATCCGTCAAAAGAAAAGACGAAAAGAGGATCCTGAGTCTATTTGAGAATGCATGAAGAAATACAAGTGCTAATGATAAAAGGCGTCTCTGGCAGCCTAGGCACCTGCAGGTATTATCTGTATCCGATCCCACTTGCTCCGTTAAATCATCGTGCAGATTCCCCCCTCTTACATGAACTGGAACCATCTCGGAAGGAACAACCCGGAGAACAAAAGTCAAACGACAAAGAATCAAGAACGCCGCTTACGAGGATGTCTCGGGCTTCTTTTCCTCTTCTTCGGGCTTCTTCTCTTCAACCTCGGGCTTTTCGCTTGCCTCTGTCTTCTCCTCAGCCTTCTCCTCGACCTCGGGCTTCTCGACCTTCTCCTCTTCGGGCTTCTCAGCCTCGACGGGCTCGGGCTCAACAGCCTCAGGCTCGTCACCAGCCTCAGCCTTTGTGGACTCGGCAACCTCGACCTCCTCGGGGGTGACCTCGGGCTCCTCATCGTCAAAGACGATGGCAGCCTTGATGGCGGACTTGTTCTTGATGCTCTCAAGAGCCTCACCGAACTGCTCGAGCTTAAAGGTCTTGTTGACGATGCCCTTTGTCTTTACCTTGCCAGAGTCGAGGTAGTCAATGGTGGCGGCTGTAACCGGGAGTCAGCAAACAACAGAGAACAGGAATCGAGGCATGACTTACGGAACATGTAGGTCTCGGAGAACGAGCCCAGAATTGTGATCTCATCACCAAAGATCTTGGATGGGGGCCAAGAGACACGGTCGGCGTTGGCGTACACGCCGTAGACGACCAGAGTACCACCACGTCGGACATAGTTGATGGAGTCCTCGAGGATTCTGACGGAGCCGGTAGCCTCAACAACTATACAAATGTTAGTTCCGGAGTGACTGTCTACCCAAAACAGACCTACCGATGTCAAAGCCATAGGGGTTCTCCTTCTTGAGCTGAGCAAACTGCTCATCAGGATTGGATCGCGAAAGCTCGATGTACTGGTCAGCAGCCTCGAGGCTCTTGGCCAGTTCCATCTTCAAACCACCGGGCGCAGCAACGGTGACCTTGCAGCCACCGTTTTGTCGGAGAAGCTGAGCAAGCATCTATAACGTCATTAGCCTTCGAATGGCGACGACTGTTGAAACTGCAACCTACCAGACCAGTAGGGCCAGCACCGAACATGAGAACGTGGGAGCCCAGCTTAGGTCGGATCTTCTCAAGACCGTGGCAAGCACAGGAGGCGGGCTCAAGAAGAGTAGCATCGACCCAGGAGAGGTTATGAATCTTGAAGACCTTGGCCGCGGGATAGGCACAGTACTCGGCGAAGCCACCGTTCATTGTTACACCGTGGGCGTTGAACTGCATGTCGTTAGTATTGTCATTGGTTGTGAGTTTCCATTATTACTGACGTTCTCGCAGAGAAGAGGCTGGCCTCTTCGGCAGTAGAAGCACTCATTGCAAAGCTCACTGTTGTCGGCAGCGACACGGTCGCCAATAGCGAATCCATTGACGTTCTAGGTAATGCGGGTTAGCGAGATCTGCCAGACAAGGTCTATCGAGATCGAAACACGAACCTTGCCAACGGCGGCGACGACACCGACGGTCTCGTGACCAGGAATCAAGGGGAACTTGGCAATGAATTCACCCTCATGGATATGCTAGTGTGATTGTCAGCCCCTGTTTGACGATCATGTTCAGTGCCGTGAGTTGGGGTAATCACCAAATCTAAGATCCGAGGTCAGCTGCTACATATCCCCTGTACGAAGCGGTAGTATCGACTTACCAGTTCCACACACACCGCAGGCCTTGACTTGAACGAGGACGTCATTGTCCCGCATTTCAGGGAGCGGGACGGTCACGATGGAGAAATCTTCGGGCTTCTCATATCTATATTCAGGGTGGAGATCGATGTTAGTCAAGGGGATGTTGGAGTCCAAGCTGTCGAGCTAATGGCAAGCGAAAGGATGACCTTGATGGTCTCCATGGTGGGTATATAAAGCTACGAGTGCCTGTGTCTAGGGTCTTGACATACCTGAGAGCCTTCATTTCTGTGGGAAGAGTCGCCATTTTGACTGAAGAGGGGTTGGACGAGGTGGGATGGAGGTGAGTGAAGTGATCAAAGGCGTTAATATCGGGACAGGTGCTGACGACGAGGTGTTAAGGACAAGTCAAGTGTCTAGGGATATGTGTATCCCTGAGCTTGCTGAGTTGAGAGAAGAAGAGGAAGCTTGTTGACTGAGCCAGATATGAGATCGAAGCGAGGAAAGGCGGGTTTTTGTTGACGAGAGATAAAGACAAGATGGGGAGATTATCGAAGGACAACGGGTATTTCAACAACCGGGATACGCTCATTCCCGAGGGGAAAGGGAAGAGGACGAGGCCCAGAAGTCGCCAGGAGTCGCAAGGTATCGTCGGGACTCGCAAGGAGTCGGCCAGGAGCCCATGATTCCAGGGGTATCTCGCTCTGCCCACCTCCACGATGCCCGGCGAGACACCGAGCCACCGAGCCAGACATCAGGAAATGCCAGGAAGCCATGGCCCAACATGGTGAAAGCATCGATCTGCCTCCCACCCAAGCGAGTGGTTCGTGCTGCTCCGCACCAGTAGCAGTGCGGCCATGTTGGAGGGCGCCCAATCTCGACCAGCATGGTGGGCGCTGAGTGTGGAAGAGTCACCTCATGGTGAAAGCTCGAGCCCGTTTTCCCCAGTCCAACATCCCCTGATCCTGTCAAAGCCCTCGGTCCTTTCGACCGTATCGTCATGACGCCTCCAAAAGGGGGAGATATCGGGAAAACAAGGAAGGGAAAATGGCTGCAGCGTGCCTCTTTGAGTGGTTTCCACTGCAACAAGCTCAAGTCAGCGTTGTCATGGCAGAAGTTTATCATACGGGGTCGTCTCTTTCAGGTCTGTATACTTACACGGACAACTCGACTCCAACGCCTCCTAAGCTCGGGCCAGCAACAACGACAATTGTCACGGCTGGGTACCTGCTTTCAACAGGCTTACCTAGGTAAGCAAGTATGAACTGCAGGCATATGCACCTCATCGCCCATGGGGAAGCTCCCTGGCTCGGTTTCACCGAGACACAAACATGGCGATACATGCATGATACAACAGCCAGGTCCAGACCGGCGCAGCCTCTCAATGCAAGGCAAGGCGACACAGGGCTGGGCGCGAAGACGCATGGCGACCCAAGGTAAAGGCAAGGTCAGAAAGGCAAGGGAAACCCAGGACACTCAGCCGAGCGGCCGTTGGTAGTAAACGGGCGTTGGACGGTGGTCTGTTTTCTATAAGCCGTTGCCGTTGCTCTAGACGCCGTGAGTGGCCCGGACCATGGTGCCGGTATCCGGTGAGGCCGTGAAACCCTCCGGTGAGGTGAGAAGGTGAGCCGTGGGCAACGGTATCGTACCGTTTTGTATCTTGTTTACCGATTTCACTTCGTGATGTGGATTGTCATATCAACGACGTAACCCTCGGCGCAGCAGCATTCTGGCTTCTGGTTGGGTGCTAGCCTGGACAGGGGGAGAATATGCCTCTCACCGAGGATGAGAGATGAGCCCGTGGCAGCATGCGGAAGGCGATGCCTGCAAGTGGTGAGGCCTGCAAGCGGCACATACCCCTTTTGCATGATTTGCGGAGGTGAGCATGTCGATGTGAATGATTGAGGGCATTCCCACGTATGACCCGCCCCAACGTCCAACTCCCCCAGACTCTCACCACTTATACACCCTGGTAAGTGGCGGAGATGCTGTTTTGGGACTTTGCGCCTCCATCTTCACCAACACACACACCTTGGCTCATGTGGAGAGAACATGTAAAGCTTCGACTCGGAGCCGCAGAGCAAGTTCCATTTTCAGCTCTACTTCCATAGAATAATGCGGAGAAGACGCATGGAATAATCTGGATGCTCCTGATGTGTCCCTTTCCCCAGGATTTCACCTACCATTCGCGGCTCCGCATGTTCGAATCTCACCTTACTCGCCGCCACAGCCTCGAAGCAACACAGCTCGGTGGTGTGTTCAAGGTGACGGCCAAGGTGTCCTTGAGGTGTAGGCCTCACGAGAAGAACGTGTTTAAACGGAGCATCTGACGTAAGAGTCAACCCACCGTCCGACACTTGCACTCTACCCCGAATAATTAGCTACGATTACCCCGAGCGCAATGCCAGCTGCTGCTCTTGTCTTGTCGTGTCAAGCACGTCTCGGACGCACAAACGAGTCCTCGCCGTTCAGCCGAGAATGCTTCTAGACGTTGCCTTTCCAGTGAGTCCCGAGCTTCCTTACCACACTCATCGAGGCACGTACCGATCAAGGATCAAGGGTGAGTTCACGGTCAGGTCACTCAGCGGACACACCTTTCTCGCAAAGAACAGCGGGACGGATCGTTCCCCTCGGACAGTGTCCGGTCTAGCAGGCAGGTAGGCGACAGAGGTAAGGTAGGTAGGTGATATTCGTATCGTTCTTCACATGGATCACTTTAAAGATTTGACGTCTTCACGTTTATCTCCCGAGCAATTATCTCGTTTTGACGGCGGCAGCAATCGACCCTGATGCAAATGATTTCCGAGGTTCTAAACCCTCAAACTCCCATGGTGTCTGTCTGTCTCCCACGCAACCTGTCACACGAGCCAAACCCATGGTGAAAATTGCCCTCCATTTTTATGAGTACATGCCGATACCGTTTGCCATGCAGCCCATTTGTTCACCATCGCAAGGAAATTGGGTTCATTTAAGAGGGGGGAGCAGCGCCACGGCCACGGCCGTAACCACCACGGCTGTAGAGTATTGTTAGCCAATTGCGCTGTCATTCATGTCCGATTGTTTAGGAAACTCACAACTGAGGAGCGAACTCGCCGGGAGCACCGCCCTCCTTGCCCTCGCCAGCATCCCTTCGTCGGTATCCGCCCTCACGGTCGCCTCGGTCGCCACCACGGCCACGGCCAAAGGGTCTTCGCTCGCGCTCGCCCTCGCCGAGCATGCCACGGGGAGGAGCGTGGGATCGTTGTTGCTTGATGTGGGTAGCAGGAACGATCTCAGCGGGGAGGTGAAGCCATTCGCGCAGGTAGTCGAGACCCTCGGGGGTCAGGGTGTAGTAGTAGTACTGCCACGAGAACTGGGTCTTGACGTAGCCGCGGGAGTTGAGGGACTGAAGAGCCTTGATAACGAACAGGTTCTTGGTGTCGATATCGGGGTGCTTGGGAAGGTTGAAGTCCTTCTGGGCGACGAGGACACCCTCTCGGAAGAGGTACTGACGGAATTGTTAGTCTTGGGTTGTTTTCTTGTGCATTTGCCAATTCGCGGCTCATTCTCTCGCGGGCGGGAGCTGCTTGCGGCGGCGCCGGGTGAGTCTGTATTACCTCGTGGATCTTCTTGCGGTCGGCCTTGGGAATCAACATCGTGGCGGTATTGCTGCTCGTCGAAGGGGTCGATGTTGGAAGGTGGCAGGTTTCGGAGGGACGAAGGCAGATCTCAAATTGGATAACTTTTGTGGGCGGAAACCCTACTCTGAAATTCGACGTAGCGAAGTGGGGGTTTGCTGTGTGCCCGTGGCTGGTGGGTTTGTCACGTGCCGATGAGGTTATCGATGTGGCTGGTGAGGTGGCACCTAGAATCGCCATCGGCCTAGTAGCTTTGTCAACCCAGTGTTTTTCTGGTCAACATCAGGCAAATACTTACAACACCCTCCGATTCTCCTCTTGTCGACTTTTCACGATCCATACAAGCGCTAGAATGTCGTCGCGAAACCTCAACGTGCTGGTTACCAGCTTTGCCGGTCTCGACTTGCCACCAACACTTGTCCTGCCTCTTCCTTCATCAACTACCGTTACAGAACTGCGAGATCGCATCGATGAGCGACTGCCAACAACTCAGTCCAGACTCATCCTCACAACTCTTTCAAACAAGCAACTACCATCAGCTTCGGAATCGCCAATCTCTGAATACCTCTCGACAAGCGAAGATGAGTTCTTGTCGTTGCGACTGGCAGTGCCGCTCTGCGGTGGCAAGGGTGGTTTTGGATCACAGCTGAGAGCTGCGGGTGGTCGCATGTCTTCTCGGAAGAAGAAGAACCAAGAAGACCACGGTTCTAGCCGTAATTTGGATGGCCGACGGCTGCGCACGGTGAACGAGGCCAAGGCTCTGGCTGAGTACCTCGCCATCAAACCCGAGATGGAGAAGAAGGAGAAAGAGAAGCGCCGCGAGCGCTGGGAGCAGATTGTCCAGCTGTCTGAACAGAAGGAGGCCGAGATCAAGTCGGGCAGCAAGAGCCGGCTTGACGGCAAATGGGTTGAGGACAAGGAGGAGAGCAGCGAGCGTACCCGAGATGCTGTCCTGGCTGCCATGAAGGCCGGCAACTACAAGGACAACCTACTCAGCACCTCTCACGAGTCAAACTCTACACAGACGAGCAATGAGCAATCCGGCTCGGATGAGGAAAAGGGTGCCTCGTCTCAGGGATCAACACCGCCCCCAGTGGAACAAACTAAGCTTGAGAAGGAAAAGGCGAGGACATTCTTTGGATTTGACGAGGATGATGAGTTTATGAGCTCCGACGATGAAGAGGCCGAGGGAAAGTGATATTTACACCCTTTTCATGAGTTTGGTCTCTGGTTGCTATGGCCGGATGGGGCCGGCCAATGACAACCGGGATTAATGGGATTACGGCGCATGGGGACCCTTGGTGTTTTTTGGGATTTGAATTGCCAGCGCTTCCGGTTGAAGTTTGATAGTTCACATGATACCAATAATAGTCCACTCAATGGCATGAGTCAGCAAAACGTCACGATATCCATGTCATTGATTCAAGGGATGAAGGATTCGGACAAAAGTCAGCGTTTACGAGGATTTTATACAGCAGGCAGCTTCACAAATGATACAATTGCAGTGTGTCTGCTCTGTCTCTTCTAAACCATCCACTACTCCAAGACTACATGTCCAACTTAAGCGTCCAGCTTGACGGGGAAGTTTCCGGCCTCTGTATGATTCGTTAGTATGCCTTAAGGGAGTCGAGTTGTCCAAGGGGGAGCGTACCGCGCTGCTCATCCCATCGGTTGTACCAGCCGGAGGGGCAGAGGGATCGGTAAGAGAGCCAGAACTAGGGGCCAATTAGTAACCGGGAGCTTCGAATAGGTTCTCGTAGTGTTCGGCGATGCGTACCTGGCGGCAGGGCGCAAAGTCCTCACCCTTGGCGAGGATGCACTTGTGGTAGTCGACGTAGTTTTGCCAGCAGTGCTTGGTCTGGTTCTGGTTGGGAAAACGGGCGTCGGTGCCTAGGAGGTCATCATGTCAGATCTGGTGTAGTTGAAGCCATTGGCGATAGTGCAATTGAGTATCGATCGCGCGTCGGGTCGTCGTCGATGGTCGTCGGTCGTGGAAGGGATTGATTGTTGCTTACCAGCTGCGCGGAATTATTAGCCTCGGGATCGAATCAGGTCATTTTTTCGAGGGCGGCGCTGGCAGCCGCCCCAGCGGGATTATTAGGGAACGTACCAGTGACAAACTTGAAGGGCTTGGTGACAAGCTCCTGACCGTCTTCCGCCATTGTGAATTGGTTTCGAGAGGAATTGACTTGGGGAAAAGGAGGGGAGATTTGTCTAAGGTCAATGCCGGATGGAGCTCGGTGCGGGCGGTTTTGGATGGAGAGAGGTTGATGCGTCGACGTTGTCCGGCTCGAATCAGGTGGTTCGATTTCCCGGGAGAGAGCTTGGGTTTGTGCCTCAGGCCGTCACGGGCCAATGGCGTAAGGCACCCAACCCGGATTTGGTGGGTCCCGCTGGCTGGCAATTGCTTGCACATCAGATGTTCGTTCGGCCAACTCCAAACACTCCCTCCCAAGGCCGATAATTTCCAATTGAATCACCTCCTCTGGACCTCTCACAGACCCTCCCCACTCATCAAGATGCGTTCCACCGCTGTTCTCCGGATGTTCAGGCAGACGCCTCGCATGCTGCGACCCGTTCCCGTGAGTGCAATGGATGGAATCTTCGGTTATGACATCAATCAGTGCTGACCATGTTTCCGTCTCGCAGAAGGAGGACCAGGCCGGTACGTGAAACTAGGGAGCTCCCGCCGAGCCTCTCTCGGACCGCTCGAGACTCGAATACCGACTCGAAACTTGTTCAATGGGCTGGGAACTAACCGAATCTATAAAGGCCACACCGTCTCTCAGCGACTCCGAAAGCTCAAGCAGATCCCTCCTGAGCTGTACCCCCTCGGTAAAGCCATATCTTGCCCCATTGAGTCCTTTTTCCATGCCCTAACAACCCGTACCAGCCGTCGTCGTTGGCTTCGCCCTCAGCGCTGCCACCTACTCCATCAGCCGCAAGTTCATCGTCGACAAGAACCTCCGCCTGTCGCGACAGGGCCCCGGTTCGCGCGCCGAGCACCACGGCGAGGCCCACGGCGAGGAGGAGAAGCAGGAGCACTAAGCCCTTACTGAAAGACTGGGGAGCCTGCCGGGGAATTGGAAATGATTACTCGCCAACGGGGGGCAGTACTGTACATGTCGGGAGAATGGTAGCAGTGAATTCCATCAGGCATAAATCTTGAATATTCTCGGTGATGATATATATCTCATGCCCTTCCAACCTGTAACCTGTGAATCCAATGCCTCAAAACGCCCTCGCTATGCTAGCCGTAGAGTCAACACCAAACCGAATTTTCCCTTATCTCTTTCATTCAGGTTTCGGCCCTGCAACGTCGAGTCCCTCCAACCCTTGCATGGGGTCAGGGCCAGAATCTGGCACTACCTTTGCATCATCTCCAAGCCTGTCATTCTCATCCGCCGCATGCTCGGCCAGCCATCCTTCCTGCACGCTCAGTCAGCATCGAATGAGTGAGAGGGGATATTCAAACATACCTTTTCCCAGATAGCAGTCTTACTACCCAGTCCTTCGTCGGCGCTCTTGGGTGCCTTGGCCTGTGAGACCTTGAGGATCCTTCCGAAAAACTCCGACTGATCCATATTGTCGATTGCCTCCTTCGCATCGGCGGCGTCCTCATACTCGACATACGCGAATCCCCTGTGGGCTTCTCCAGAGTTTGGTGCTTCGGGCTTTGGCAACTTGCAGTCGACAATCTCTCCAAACGGGATGAAGGCGTCAAGGATGTGACCTGTGGTGACAATCTGGGAGAGTCCACCAACGTAGACGGTTGCCTTCCATCGAGCTGCGTCTGACATTGTCGTTTTATATGAGATTTGGAGACGATGAATATGAGGAGTCGTGGTGAAGATCGTGTAAAGCTGTCGTCGTGAATCTCATACAGCTCTGCTGGCGGCTCAGAGCAACGGTTACTTGGTTGTGGTAAGCTCCGTGCTCGTCACGTGATGTGTAGCTTGAGACTCAAAGAAACAGCTTTCAGTTTCAAAGTCAATTGTCCATCAAGGGCAGTTTAGAAGAAGCATTCTTGCAGGGCATCAATGTAGAATCAATTTAAAAACTCCAGATATAATCCAGAAATGCCCATGAAGAAGAAGGCTGGGCTTGTTGGATCCTCTTAAGGGCTGCATATCATCAAGTCAACCTCTTACAAGTGCTCCCTACCCTACTACGTACATATCACCCACCACCTAATAGCGTATAAGAGAAAACCCTGGCTAGCAAATAGTCTCATCAAGGCAGGTTGCAAAGAGCGTCAAGAAAGTCAGTTCTGTGGCTGCAATATCGACGGTATGAGCCGACGATCGCTCGGGTACCCCTCTAGCCTGTATGGGCGTTGACCCTGAAGCGCCATGACAATGGACAAGGAACAAACAATAAGCTCTGCTATCATCCAACTTACATCTGACCTTTCCCATTTCTTCACTGCTTCCAAAGATGCCACGGTCACAAGAATTAAAGCCCCTAAAGATAGCTCCCAGCTGAGTCATCACGTGATAGCTGGCCCACCTCGAGGACAGCCGACTACTCAGGGGCACGGACGTGTCCGCTGTTAGGAGCTCCTGAGCATGGAGGGCAGCCTGCAATCTGGCATCATACCTCCCAATTAAAGACAACCGACAGCCCAACCTCGCCCTGCTTCGATCAACCTCGAAGCTATACTCGCGGGCAGAGGCAACAACTTCTTTAATACCGCCTGGCCCTTGTCTAGCCAGAATTGTTTGGTTTTTGTCTTTATAACATTGACCGCCACCTCTAAACGTCATCCTGAGCTGGTCCTTCGTCGCATTAGTCCCCCGCCATCACCATCATGGTGCGCCTTCGAGAGATACCCCGAACGGCCGCCTTCGCCTGGTCGCCAGGTGCCGGCAAGCCTGTCTTGGTCACCGGTACTCGTGCCGGCGCTGTCGATGCCGATTTTTCTGACGAGAGCAAGCTGGAGCTCTGGGATCTTGCTCTGGACGACCATGAGCAAGGCCTCGAGTTGCAACCTGTCGCTAGCATCACCACCGACGCTAGGTAGAATTATGCCATAGAAGCTGCAGGGAAATACAACATGCTGATCTAATCCAGGTTCTACGATGTTGCATGGGGTCCCGCCAACGATGATCACCCCAAGGGTATCATTGCAGGTGCTCTCGAGAACGGCTCATTGGATCTTTGGGACGCCGAGAAGCTCATTGCTGGGGACTCAGATGCCCTGATCTCACAAACCTCCAAGCACACCGGCCCAATCAAGACAATACAATTCAACCCCCTGAAGCCGCAGATCCTGGCCACGGCTGGCGCCAAGGGCGAGCTCTTCATCTACGATGTGAACGACATCGCAAACCCCTTCAGGCTAGGAAACACGGCCGCCCGATCCGACGATATCGAATGCCTTGCATGGAACCAGAAGGTCTCTCACATTCTTGCAACTGGCGGTAACGGTGGTTTCGTGACCGTGTGGGACTTGAAGACCAAGAAAGCTTCATTGACTCTTAACAACAGCCGAAAGGCCGTCAGTTCCATCGCCTGGGACCCCAACCACTCCACAAAGCTCTTGACGGCGACTCCAGATGACAACACACCCGTCATTCTGATGTGGGATCTCCGAAACTCCAATGCTCCCGAGAGAACACTCCAGGGTCACGAGTCAGGTGTCCTTTCGTTGTCATGGTGCTCACAAGATAGCGACCTGCTACTCTCTTCAGGCAAGGATAACCGCACCATTGTCTGGAACCCCAACACCGGCGAGCGTTATGGCGAGCTGCCTGAAGTGACAAACTGGACTTTCCTCACTCGATTCAACCCTCATAACCCCAACCTCTCGGCGACTGCCAGCTTCGACGGCAAGATCACGGTGCAGACACTACAAAACACCAACCCCGACACATCCAAGGCCGCGGCCGAGAAGAACCTGGATGACGAAGACTTTTTCCGCGCCGCTCAAGACCAACCCCAGGAGGCATCCTGGACCCTGGCCAAGGCTCCCAACTGGTTCGAGAGACCCATTGGCGCCTCGTTCGGTTTCGGAGGCAAGGTTGTGGTGTTCAAGGCCAACCCTGTCCAGGCTGGGCAAAAGCGATCTTCCAAGGTCGTGATTACCAACTTCTCAATCGATTCCGATGTGTCCTCTGCCACCGAGAAGTTCCAAGAGGCCATCGCTTCTGGTGATATCTCTTCGATTTGCGCCGATCGCATTGAGCAGGCCAAGTCTGAGGAGGAAAAGGCCGATTGGCAGGTGATGGAGACTCTCGTAGGCGATAACCCTCGCAGCAAGATTGTCGATTATCTCGGCTTTAATGAGGAGGAGCTTGCCAACGGCAGTGTTAAGGAGGAAGCGGGAGAGGCTGATGATGATGCTGAGGCCGAGACCAAGGAAGATGCCGAAGACAAGAAGAAGAAGCGTGTTTCTAGCTTCTTTGAAGGCGGCGAGGCCGAGGACGACGATTTCCTGTCCAACCTTGCTGCTACCAAGGACGCCAAGACTGACAACCCCTTCCAACTATTCAACGAGTCTGATAGCCCAGTTGAGAAGGATATCACTAGAGCTCTGATGCTGGGCAACTTTGCCAAGGCTACTGAGCGTTGCTTGAAGGAGGAGCGCTTCGCTGATGCATTCTTGATCGCCAACTGTGGCGGCCAAGAGCTCGTTGACAAGGTCCAGTCTGCTTATCTGGCTCGCAAGAGCGGCCAACCTAGCTATATGCGCCTCCTTGGCTCTGTCATTTCCAAGAACCTTTGGGATGTCGTTTACAATGCCGACCTTGAGGACTGGCAGGAGACCATGGCCATCATCTGCACTTTCTCTGACCCCGCCGAATTCTCGGATCTCTGCGAGGCGCTGGGAGACAGGATCAACGAGGATGGTTCCCGAAAGGATGCTTCGTTCTGCTACTTGGTTGGCTCCAAGCTCGAGAAGGTCGTGTCGATCTGGGCTGCCGAGTTGGACGAGGCAGAGCAGGCTGGCTTGAAGGAGGCATCTGGAGATTCTACCTTCTCCGTTCATGCCAAGTCACTGCAAAACTTCATCGAGAAGGTCACCGTCTTCCGCCATGTCACCAAGTTCCAGGATGGCGAGAAGGGACTGAGCGCGGACTGGAAGCTCGCCACGCTGTACGACAAGTATACTGAGTATGCTGATATCCTGGCTGGCCATGGTCAGCTTGAGACTGCTCAGAAGTATCTCGACCTTCTCCCATCCAACTATCCCGCTGCGGAACTGGCCAGGAACCGTGTACGACTTGCCACCAAGAAGCCTGCTGCTCAACCCGCCGCCAGAGTACCAGCATCGTCGAGCCGCACTTCGTCCAGAATCCAGCCCGCCATGGGCTATCAGCCTCCCCAGCCCGTGTCGGCTCCGGCTCCTGCTCAGACTGCGGCCAACCCCTATAGCAGCATCGCCCAGAACCCGGCTCCTCGGTCAACTGGATCACCAGCCCAGCAGTACATGCCCCCGACAAACGCCTATCAGCCTCAAGGTGGCAATGCCTATCAGCCTCAGGGTGGTTACGCACCACCTGCTCAGACTGGTTATGGAGCCCCTGGTGGCTACCAGCCGCCCGCTCAGCATGGATACGGTGCTCCTCCGCCCATGGCCGGACCTCCTCGAAACACGACACCTTCTTCCTCTGTGCCACCTCCTTCTAAGGCTAAGAACATGGACAACTGGAACGATGTTCCTTTGGTCACTAAGGCACCACCAGCACGCAGGACTACTCCGAGTGTCGGACCTCTGACCTCGCCTTTCCCTGGACAACAGGCCTCTCACCCTCCTCCTCCCCCAGGAGGCCCAACCCCTTACGGACAGCGAGCCGGAGCCACTCCTCCTCCACCTCCTCCTAAGGGACCAGCTCCTCCTCGAGTCACGTCGCCCCTGGCCGCCCCTCCTCAGAACTTCCAGCCTCCTCCCCCGGCTGCCAGCGCTCACAACCCGTACGCGCCTCCCCCTCCAGCTGCGGGTGCGATCCCGTCGCCAATGCCCCATGTCGTCCCTCGAACGGCGTCTCCCTACAACGCCCCTCCTGCCGCAGCACCTCCTTCCAACCGGTATGCCCCTACTCCGGTAGCGCAGCAGCAGCAGCAGTTCAGCCACCCCCCAGGCTCGGTGCCGCCTCCAGGTGCTGCTAGCCGTCCCCCGCCAGCTGGCTCGTTTGGAGCGCCTCCTCAGCAGTCGACTCCCCACAACCAGTACGCACCCTCTCCTTATGGCGCTCCTCCAAGCCAGTCCTACGGTGCTCCCCCGCCCCAGCCTTCCGCACCTCCAACCGGGCCTCCTCCCACTGGACCTCCTCCTATGAACCGACCTGGCCCTCCCGCTGCCTCTTCTCCTAAGCCAACTCCTCCACCTCAGCCCGCCGCGCCGCCCAAGGCCCGACACCCTGCAGGTGACCGATCACATATCCCTCCCAGCGCGCAGCGTCTGGTGGACATTCTGAGTCAGGATATGCAGCGAGTTGCTGTCAAGGCCCCCGCCAACTTCGCCCCCCAGGTCAAGGATACGCAGAAGCGACTCAATATTCTGTTCGACCACCTCAACAATGAGGAGCTGCTTCAGCCCAGCACGATCGATCAGCTTACAGAGCTTGCACAAGCCCTTGAGGCCAAGAACTACGATGTGGCCCACAAGCTGCAGGTTGAGGTTCAGCGAGACAAGACGGAGGAGTGTGGTAACTGGATGGTAAGTTTATATGGTCCCGTGAATTGTACAGAAGCTAACTCGAATACTAGGTTGGTGTCAAGCGCCTTATCAGCATGAGCAGGGCTACGCCGTGAGTAAGTGTTGGAATACACGACATGTCTTAATGTAACTTGCTTGTGGACAATCACAAAGGATGTTGGTGAGGGGGTCGGATGGTTTAGCGGAGGTGTATGAT